CAGTAGAAAGATAAGGGTCTGAATTCCAGAGTCAAGCTTTCATAAATTACTTAACTTTTTGAACTGCTACTGTCTCCTTCCCTCCCTTCTTCCTCTCTTCCTTCTTTGTTCCCTACTTTTCCTTATTATTATTGTATTTTTATGATATTGAGGGTGGACCTCGGGGCGTTGGCACTGAGTTACCGGACTTTACTGTCTCACTTTGTTGTGAGACAGGGCCTCACTAAGTCTTTAGATTATCCAGGCTAGACTGGAACGTGTGCTCCTCCTGTCCCAGCCTCCCAGAGTGCTGAGATTGCAGCTATGTGCCTCCATGCCCAGCCCAATTTTCTTTGAAGAGAAATGATATTAAATTATACCTGCCATTATAGAGTTGATGTGAGGACTAAATTAGTATATATAAAGCGCTTATCATATACTTTATAAAAAATTTCACAAAATATATTAGCAATATTTTAAAGTTTTAGAGGGCTTGGGATGTAGCTCAATGGTGGGGTGCTTGGCTAGCATGGGTGAGTCTCTGAATTCAATCCCTCAAAAAGCCCCACTTTTTCTTTTAATAAAAATTAGAAAGTGTACTGAGACAGTAGTTATGAAAACTCATCTATTTACAGTATCAAAATGCTATTTCTCTGTGTTAGTGCATTCAGTAAGAAGAGATTAAGGGTATTAACTAAAAACTTCTATTTAATAAATCTAGTTTCAAGATAAAAGGAAATGGTACCAGTAGTGCAATCTGTTGGTGAAGAAAGTGAGGAAAACAAGGCAGATACACTTGTAGTCCTGCTGTAAGACTGAGAATAGTTACCACGTCACAGTGGGAAAAGCACAGGACTTCGAGACAAAATACAAGAGCTTTTGCTCTCTGCATAATGATGATGTTGGATTAGATGTTTTCAGCATTCTTTGGGTTTATGGTCAGTGTAAATCTGAGAATTTTGACTTGTCTTTTCCATGGAATGAGAGTTTAAATAGATAGGTTTTTGTGGTAGGGTGAGTAATAGCTTCCTCCAGATGTCCAAATGCCCGTGTGCTCCTTCCGTGGTGAATATATTACCTTACCTGGCAAAAAAGGCCTTCCAGACAAACTGTGATGGGCGAAAGGAAAAGGAAAATAAATACAGATATACATAATATAGATAATTATATACCTAGCTTCTTTTAGTTCCCTGAGAAGAATTTCTGTGCTGGTAATGTTAGGACAAGATATCATGCCTGTATCTCACACTCTGAACAACAACTACAAACATAATAATACATAATGTATCAACTATCGTAATGACCCAACTAACTTGTTGTGAAACCGGTTTCATTGTTATGTTTATCTTTTTTTCTTATCTTTTTACTTCATTAAAATATAATAAAAAAATTTAAAAGAGAGTCTTCAGGTGGAGGGTTATGTTGGATTCCCCACATAGACCCCAGGTAATTTCAGAGGTCCTCATTAGAGTGAGCAGGGGGGCTGGGGCAGAAGAGATGGAGATGCAGTCGAGGAAGCAGAGGTGGAAGGGATGCAGCCCACTGTGAAACTTCTTGAAATCAGGAAAAGAACAGGGAACAGATTCTGGGCTGGGACCTGTGGAAGAAACAAAGCCTTTGATGCTGGCATACAGACTGATTTTACACTTTGGGTTTTTGAGCTATGAGATAATCAAATTGTTTCAAGTCCCCAAGTTTGGGGTAATTTGTTCCAGCAGCAAGAGGAAAGTCATACAGGGTTTATTGGTGTGTTTTGCTAAAAGAAGACAAGTTTCTTGAGGTAATCTGTGGGACATTTGGTTGATCCAGTTTTTATGATTATAGTTTTTGATTGAGATTTTAAATTTCTAGTAGGGCCAGGGAGATAGTGCAGTGGCAAAAGCTCCTGTCCTGAGTTTGATTCCCAGTACAAAAAACAAAACAAAACAAAACATCCTGGTAACTCTTATTAATGATAAGAAGATACATAAAGGCTTGAGAGCTATTATATCCTACAAGTCTGTCACCATTCTTCCACTTCCAGTTTTCCTAGTTCCCTCCCTGGAGGGCTTCTTTTGAGGGAATTTTCCAATCAGTCAATGATTCCACCTCACAGACTCTTGAAATGAGAGCTCAGAGTGAAAACACATGTTGACATTAACACAAAATACTATTACAAAGCCAGGAGTGGTGATATATGCCTGTAATCCCAGCACACAGGAGGCAGAGGCAGGAGGATTGTTGTGAGTTTGAGACCAGAGTGTGTTACAAAGTGAGCTCATGGACAGCCTGAACTGCATAGTGGGACCCTGTCTCAAAAAGACAAAACAAAAGAAAACACCTAGAGCAAAACAAAAAATAAGTCACAGAGTAGGTCATGTGCAAAGCATATACATGCTATGCATACTATGAAACTGACACATGGAGTAGGCTGAAGATTAGATTATTCACCAGGCCCCACGTTGACCTCACATTCAAGCATCCCACAACTTGTTTTAAGGAGTGGCAGGATACTCGATAGGCTGACTGGGTTAGTTATAAAATAGGTGTGACATCCTTGGTATTTTTCTTTTCACTGACATCTGTGTCATACTTTATTCTTGTTAAACTGCTTTTATTGCACTTGTATCTTCATTGGTGTTTCAATTATTTTAAGACTCATTGAGTAGCCCTTGCTCCTAGGAAGGAAGAATGGGGTCATAGGATACGATGTGGTCATGCCTGGAAGGCTACCTGAACACCTCTCTGGACAGGTGCCTTCATTGCATGTAGGATTTTCTGGGCTAGTTTTTGTTTTTTTTTCTGATGCTTCATCCTTCTTGTCCCTTGTTTTTGTAACTGTCTGCCTAGAGATAGAGAGGCAAAGGGCAAGGACGCTCAGACAAGTTTGGATAAAGATCAGTTGGAATAAGCAGTAGGCTGTGAATCATGATTGGAGGAAATCAGTATTTTTCTTGGCTGGAAGACCTTGAGACGAGGCAATACGCCTTAGTGTAGGTAAGTCTTGAGGGAAATTAGACACACAAGAATCTAAAAGAAATTAAGCAATGTGTGGTCATGCCCCTAATTATTGCAAAATTAAACAAGCCAACTCATGCTCTGTGATAGCTAAAATTAATTAAATTAATTTAAAGTTAATTTAGCTAAAATTAAAATTTCCATACAGATGGAAAGAAATTTTTTATGGACTTAGCATATCCTTGAACAGAAGCAAGCTACTAGTGGGTCACTGATGGCTGATTACACCTATGACAAAGAGATGGTAGTACATGATTATTGAAGCAAAATAATTGTAGCCCACCAGGCCATCTTTCTGGTAAATATGTGCTCCTCTGATTTCTGTCTTTTTAAACTAAATTGCTTAGTATTTATTGAACATTTGCTCTATCAAGGAACTATAGGGAATTAGTTATGTTTCATATGTACTGATTTGGTATCTAGAGTAATCTGACATTTTTGGTATAAAGCTGTTTAAACACCAAGTTGTGAGCCATAAACCTACATATATAGTTATTTAGTAATTAATTTCTGAGGTTAAATAAATAATTTAAAATTTAAAACTTAGCTTTAAATGTGCTAAGGTGCCATTTTATTTTCTTCCTAAATCTCCTCTCTCTTCCCTTTTTTCCAGGATTGAACCCAGGGCCATTGCACCAAACTATATCTCTAGCCCTTTCTATTTTATTATTATTGCTTTTTTATATTTTGAAATGGGTTCTCATTAGATTGGCCTTGAATTTATAACCCTCCCGCCTCGGACCTGATTAGCTGGGATTCAACATCCGTACCACTTCCTTCTCTGCCTTTGCCTTTCTTCTTCCCCTCCTTATAAAACTCACCAGTGCTTAATTTAGCTTCTTTTTTAGCTACAGAGTTTCAAGTTTTAAGAAAAAACATGAGAGTAAAAGTCAGACTTATAAAACTGATGAGGTATTCATACATGATTGCTTGCTTGAAAAAAATTATTGTAAGCATTAAATTTTGAGCCCCTCTGAGTAATTCCACAGTTGATAGAAGTAACTTGGGAACAAGGTGCTTTTATTTCATTAGCACTGTTGTTTTAATGAAAATAATACATTTCAAAAACCATTTTAAGAGCTGTGCAGCACGTTTAAACATTTAAAACTGTGGTAGAACTTAAAAAATATCTCATCTTGAGCCAGGGCATGGTGGTGCATACCTGGAAAAGTTGACTCAGGAAGATGATGGCTTAGAGGCCAGCTTGGACTACCCAGTGAAATTCTATTAAAAGAAAAAAAGCATCTGGTCTCTACTTATTTTCTACCCTCATTAGCTGCCAACCTCGTAGGGCCTCTTAAACTGTTTGCAACCTCAGTTTGAAGCATAGTTGGTTGGTCCAGTGTGAGCAGTGACTGTAGAACACTCTTAAAGTCTTTGGAAATAAAATAGAAATACAAAGTAGTGGACTTCTAGCTAGAAAGGAAAGTGTTTTATTAATTTCTCTAGGTGGGGATAGATGTTAATAGGCTCAAGGGGCAGGGAGACTGCACGTATTCACCTACCCAGGAGAAATCACACCCTGGTGATCTGCTGTTCTCAGGTTCTTCACACATTCACACCATCTTCCCCTTTGCCTTCTGTCTATCCTTTGCTGGGAAGAGAGGGGACCAAGAGCTGTATATTTCTTCACAGCAAAATAGCAACAAGGCAGTCAATGTTAGTGTCTCTAAATAATTCACCTGATTCTCAACCCTCAGCCTTATTTATTTTTAAAAATACATCAATGGTTTTAACTGTTTTCACAGATTTCAGAGTTCATCTTAGGGGATTAGCAATTGAGGCCACTTAAAAAGAAATAAGTACAATTATGAATGAAGGAATAAAAATGATAGAAAAGATATATATTCCCTGTCCAAAAAAAAGATGTAGGTACATACATGTTTATTGTCCAAAATGACAACTATTATGTCACAAATATACACTAATAAAAAAGAATAAAGATAAAATTGCAAATGACATTTATTTAAGTAAGTGGAAATTGTGATTCAGTTTATTGACATTGTTATTTATATGGAACATGTAATCATGCATATATTATATATGTATAGAATTTAAACATATTATTTGATGAGAGAAATGCTTTAAAAGTTTTTTTCACTCACAGTAAAAGCAGCTTTTAAGTAAATAAGCATTCATAAACAGATAAGTCTGTGATTTATTTTGCCAGACTCAAAGCCTGGGATAATGTGAGGCACTTCGCTACCTGAAATAGAATGTGCTACCTAATTCTGCCAGAAATCTTTCATTGCAATCCCCTCTTTATCCCTCTCCCCAATAAAGGGAAATAATAAAATTTGGAGAAGCAGTGGATATTTATTGAAAGAAATATTGAGAAAGATGAGAGCAATTCTTGTGGTGTGGAGAAAGAGATGTACACAAAGTGTGGTGACATGTCTACAGAACTCTTCATAGACCAATGAAAGACACTTTCCCATGCAATGCCACATGTCCCACCACATCTTGGTTTCATTTTTATCGGTACCAGGGATCAAACTCACGACTGCCTGCTTGCAAGGCAGGCGCTTATGCCGCTCAGCTAAATCCCCAGCTCCCACATCTTGGTTTCTTCGCTAAAATCTTTCAACCTAGTTTTTTATAACAAAAGCTGATGAGGAAATGGATTCACTTTTCTGAAATTTGCTTACAAGCAAATGTGTTATGTAACACTTTTATAAAGCGAAGGATACAGATCTTATCTCACCCATATGAATATAGTAAAAAAATTTTTTTAAATCTGAAGGAAAGATGTAAACAAAGCATGTCTATACTTGAGTAGCAAGATGCTAGGTATTGATATGTGCAATAAAAGCAATCAAAATAGGCCAAATAATTACTAAGCATTGCACAAAAATCTTTTTTGCATTGCACAAAGATCAAAATATGTGCTAACTTAGCAGCCTCAGTGCACTGACTGTGCATTGACTAATTTAAAGTATGTGTCTCGATTTTTGAGGAGCTCCTGATGAGTTCCCTGTTCTTTTATTTTTCCATTGTGGAGAACCACAATCAGATCTGCATTCTGTATTGTGGAGAGTCTGTGAGCCACCACTAGGCATGTCCTCCCTCTCCGGGCTTTGTCCAGAGCATGTTGAACTACCTGGAAGAGACAAGAACATGTGATCACTGGTTTGAGTTATGTGTTAATAAGCTTGCCTAAGTCAAATCTACTAAGACTATAGACAAATCCACTAATCTACTAACAATCTTGTTATAGTTGCTTATTCCCGAATACATTGTCCCACTTTATGAAATATTTACTCTACCCAACAGAAATCTAGAAAAAGAAATTATAAATATCTTAAGACTTTCAATTGGAAAAGCATCTGTGACAATGAATAAAAATGAAATGTTTGTATATGGTTTTAAACTCAAAGCCAGGAAGTATTTTTTTTTTTTTTTTTTTTTGATACTGGAGATTAAATCCAGGGCCTTCTCACTGAACTATATCCCCAGTCTTTTTAAATATTTTTCATTATCTTTTTAGGGATAGGGTTTTGCTAAGTCACCAAGTTACTCAGGCTGGGCTCAGCTTACAGTCTTCTGACTTACCTTCTCATAGTTCTGAGATTATAGATGTGCACCACCACACCAGGCAAGAAGTAGTATTTCTATATCTGAGTGTTGTCTAATATGTGGAGCTCATTTTCTCTCAAGCTCACAATGAGGTTATAATAATGTGTAGAAGAATGGCAGCAAAGGGTGAAAACCAATGCCTGGTAGACATATAAACTATTCCAGGGTTGTATATCTCACAGGAATACTTGCTTAATAACCTGTTATGGTTTTGATCTAGGTGACCCAAATCCTCATGTGGTCATGGAGGAGGGCCTTGTAAAGTGAGTTAAATCTAGAGTTTGTGATTGGTTTATTGTCTAGTGCTAGAATTGGTGGTATGAGTGCTGCACCTGCCCTGGGGCAGGTAGTTTGCATATAATGTAAGGAAGGAAAGCAGGTTGCTCTTCTTTTTGCCTGTTGAGCTCTTGTCACCATTGGTCCCTGCTAGTGCTATGAATGGCTGCCCCTGTGCCATGTCACACTGATTTAGAGCCAGCTAATTATAGACTAAAACCTTCCACAAACTGTGAGCTAACTAAACCTCTTTTTCCTTTATTTTGGGCATCAAGTGTTATATCTCAACAACAGCAAAAAATAACTAAAACAGAATTTGTATACCTGACCATGTGGGTTCAAAAAACCTTTAAAAATGGCTCATTAGGGCTGAGGATTTAGCTCATAGGCACAAGTGCCTGCATGGCATGCACGAGGTTGTGTTTGATCTCCAGTACCAAAAAAAAAAAAAAAAAGACATTAATAGAAGTTTAAAAAGGTTCAGAGATGTCACTTAAAAGAGTGGCACTAAGATGCTTAGGCTTTCTATACAAGAGATTCTGGTCAGAGCTCAAAAGACCAAAAGCTGGGCTGGGGATTTAGCTCAGCGGCATAAGCACCTGCCTTGAAAGCAGGCAGTCGTGAGTTCGATTCCCTGGTACCGATAAAAAAGGAAAAAGACACCCCCCAAAAAAAAGGTTTAAAAAAAGACCAAAAAGCTGATAAAAATCCTACTGATAAAAACCAGGCTACATTGGCTGCTAGTCTACAGATGATGTGTGTTATGGCTTGATAAAAGTTTCTTTACATTATGCTCATGTCCAGAGACTTTATCTGAGACTAAGATTAAAGGCAGCAGATTAATTAATCTGGAAAAAATTTTTTAAAACAAATATTGAGCTGTGACATGGGGGGGGGGCTTTTAGCAAGATTTATGTTACAAATCAACAGCAAAAACCCCAGTAAGATAAGTTAAACATTGTAAGTTTGGCCAAAAACAAACAAAACTCCAATAAAGCTATAAGCTATAAAGATAAAGTTAAAATCTCCATTGCTTAAAAAAAAAAAAAAGGCCTAAGCACATCACAAAAAGTGGCAGGTCTTCACCCTTAATAGCCTAAAAACTACAAAAGTAAAACATCGTGTTCTAAATGATGAGAGCCACATTATGTTCCAAAATGGCAGAGGACACACCAGGTTCCAAAATGATGGTGACATAAAAAATATGTTTTTCAAAATCAGGTTCAGAGTGCTCAACAATCCAGACACTCAATGTTATCTACATGGCACTAGTTTAAGACACAAAGTACAAGGTTAAAGAGGTTTTCACCCTGATTTCAAAAGGCCTAAAAGGCCAGGCAGTATAACTCTAAAAAGACAATATAAAGCCATGAGGATAAAGTCAAAAGCTCAATAAAAACCCCCAAAGTTAAAAAAACCAAAACCATAAGTCATCTAAAAAAAAGTTATCAGAGTAGGCAAGATGGGCCTAAAAAAAGCCCTTAAAATTATAATCAAAAGTAGCATAGAGACAAAACCTTTCTGTATAATTAAATGTTAAAAATATTTGACTTTTTTTTTATACAGGGGTCACAGCTAACAGTTTCCCTTAAATTTCAAAAATGACTTGAGACTTAGACTTTTCAGCAGTTAAAAAACTAGACTTTTGCAACTCTTAAAGATAAACTAAGTACCTTTTACATAAAAATACATACATGAGTCTTTGGAGGGCGAGGGGCAAGATGTTATGGTTTGTGTCTGTGTGTCCCCCTAAACCCCCAGCCAATCATGGAGGCAGGCCTTTCAAAGATTGCTAAATCTAGAGTTTGTGATTGGTTCATTGTCTAGTGCTAGAATTGGCCTTGTGAGTGTTGCATCTCCCTTGGGGTGGGAGCCAGCTTACAGTATAAAGGAGGGAAAGCAGCTTGCTCCTACTGTTTGCCCTTTTTGCTCTTGTCACCTTTGATTCCTGCTGCTGCCATGAATGGCTTCCGCTAAGCCCTGTCACCCTGCCCTAGAGTCAGCTGATTATAGACTAAAACCTCCACAGACTGTGAGCTAAGTAAACCTTTCTTTCCTTCATTTGAGACATCAGATGTTGTGTCTCAGGAAAAATAAACAAATAGAAACAACAACAAAATGCTAAGATATAACCTCGTAAAATATAGATATTTTCATTTTTCTGAGTGAAAAGAGACTTCTGAGGAACATACTGTGTGGGCAGATTGTCCTATGTTGCTTTGCTTGTTTCCTGCTCCAATGAAGCTAATACTCTGGAGAAAGCAGAATAACTACCTGGCTCTGACATTACAATGCAGATTATCCTTTTCATATGTAGATCATTTTATTAATTGGTTTGGCATCACTGGAATAAAAATAACATAGAAATTTTTCTTGGGTACTTTCTTTGATTGGAGGAACATTTCAACAATGGGGCCCCTTTTGATAATGAGAGGAGAAAATCTTTCTAGGACAAAATTACTTCCGTCCCAACTCTCCCCCACTCCCCAAAACCTACTGAACTTTTTTTTTTTTTAAGCTCAAATTCTTAATTAGATCTGGTGAACTGACTGATGACTACAATTTCCTCCAGGCCTTTCTTTCCCCAAATAAACTTTGGTGTCCTCTATGATACTGCATGCTCATATTTATTACTCTTTTTCAGATGAAAGAAGAGTGTTTTACCTTTTCACTTTCATTGTCAAGAGCTGAAGTGGCTTCATCCAACAGTAAAATTTTGGGTTTTCGTAGAAGAGCCCTTGCAATAGCGAGTCTTTGTTTCTGGCCACCAGAAAGCTGTGCTCCTTTCAGTCCAACTGGTGTGTTGTATTTCTGTTATAGGAACATGCAATTAAGAAAGCAAGCTTTGGTTATTTAAATTAGTATGGCAACTGTGGGCAGGAACCAAATAAATATTTCAAATTTTGCTGCTCTTGAAAATTTGTCCAGTGCTGGAATCTATTCTTGGGTTTTGTTGTGAATAAATGCTTAATGAGTAAAACACACTATCATCTCATTTACTTATCTAATCCGATCCCAAAGAGCAGACCTTTGCCATTATGCTTCTACAAAGGAGTTTTTTAAAATTAAAGCATAAGTAAAAAAAATTGCTGGCAAGAAAAAGTTCCTAGTAAACACAGATTTGTTTCCATTAAGTTATAGTAACTTCTATTTTCGGGTCAAAATGATTCAAACTGTTTTAAAACAACAAAGAATCTGAGTTCCTTTACTTTGGCTCCTGCTAAACCTTTGGGGACATCTCCCTGCAGATGCGAGGATTTGGTCCTCAGTGGGTCATGCACGTTCCTGGAGAAGAGGCTGGCAGCTTGACACAGTTCACTTACTTTTTCACATGCCAAATGTTCTCCATGACATTTAGTACTGTTTCTCAGTGTTTCCACAGATCCCCTCCCCAACACTTGCTAATAACTTTTCCTGTGGTGTTTCTTTCCCGTGGATATGGAAGTGAGGAACATTTCCTTTGTATCTTGAAGCCAGTGTGATCCATGGAACCATGACTGGTCAGTTCATTTGGAATAAGCAGGTTTCTGTTTGCTTTCTAGACTGTCCAAGACTTCTCACTGCTTTCTAGTAGCCCTTGGCAGTCTAAGGAACACAGATCATTGCTATCCAGACAAACACATGTGGATGGATGAGGCCCACTGAAAAAGCAAGTCTGATTCTACAGCCTTCCAGAGGAGACTCCCGTGGCAGCATCTCAGAAGATGCAGGGGATGAGTCATGCATGATTCATTTTGCTTTATTTTTTTTGGTACCAGGGATCAAATTCACGACCTTGCGCTCATCAGGCAAGCACTTAGGCCGCTGAGCTAAATCCCTGACCTTCATTTTGCTTTGTGTTTGGAAGAAGTGCAAGTGAACTGCCTCACTCCACATCTGCCTGATTTCAGGAGGTTTGTGGAATGGTTATCCAGAGCTGCGGATGCAACCTTACAACAAACACTTGTCCTTCACCCCAGAGGGTTTTTTTTTTTCCAGTTTGAAATGTGTAATTGCTGATTTTATATCTAACACTGGGTGTCTGAATTACCAAAGCCCACCAAAAATGTCTTTTCTAAAGTGTTTTCTAGAGAAAGTAGGACTTAGCTATCCTTTCTGGGATTTATCTGGGACTGCAGCAGGTGGTCTGAGGACTTTTGGAATCTGGAACTAGAATTAAGAAAATGGAGACTTGCATGTCTGTCAAATAGATTGTTGTATAGCACGAGGAGTGCTGCCGTGATGCCAGTCTCTACTGTCACCACCTCTTGGATAAGTGAAGAAAAGACAAAGTTTTAACAAGTAGTTGTTTTTCTTTCTTTATAAATTTGATTGTGTCATTTCCCTGTTGAAAAAATATCTAGTGCTTATTAGTAAACTTTGTAGCCTGATATAGCAGGACCTTTACATTCTGTGCTAGCTCGTATTTTTGCCTCTTCACAATTCCTTTCTGCTACATGTTCCAGGATTTAACATTCTCCTCTAACATCCAAATGCCTCTTCTATGTATGTATATATTTGTGTATATGTTAATTTTGTCTGCTGAGAATGATTTCATCCCTCTCTGCCTAGTAAGCTCTTATTCAGTCTTTAAGACCCAGTTCAAAGCAGCATCCTCTGTGTGATTTTCTCTGGGGTTTCCTATTTTATACTCTCCCTGCTGCACTGTGTTTGACTCCAGCAGATTGTCTATCATAGTGTACATTTCTCTAGTCATTGTTCACAATTCTGAGCCAAATCCTGGGAATTCTACATTTTTGATATCTTTTAAATCCATTTATTCTTATTTTACTTTCTTTCCATTTTATTTGTATTTTGCTACTGGGATGCTCTACCACTGAGTCAGACTCATTTTATCTTTGTATGTTGAGGCAGGGTCTCACTAAGTTGTTCAGGATGGCCTCAAACTTGCAGTCTTCCAGCTCAGCCTCCCAAGTGGCTGGGCTTAAAGGTGTGTGCTACCATGCCCAGTGATTTCACTTTATACTCACTAATTTAGACCTTCAAAATCCATCCTTGGAATAACTCCTTACTAATCTCTCAAACTGTCTTTGTCATTTTAAATTGTCATTTACATGCTCAACCAATGTGTAATTCCTAACATCTTCCCTATTCAAAAACCTTTAATGAATCCTTAGAAACTGTCAAGGTAAAAATATCTTTGCTTTGTATTCAAATACACAGTTTTACTAACGTGATCATCAAACATTATATTTTATATGTTTTACTCAATAGTCTAACCGCTTATCATTCTGTGAACACATTAGTAGTTTCTGTCTCTGTGGTTCTACTCAGACCATATCCTCCACTGCTTCATTATATCCTTGACTACTGATGTTCTAGCTGATCAATATTCAGGTCACCTCTAAATTCTCTAAGTGCTTGTCTGACCCGACAGCCTCTGATCCACTCCCCCTGAGCTCAGCAGTTTGTTTAAATTCTTCACGCATCGCGATGATTTGTGTATGTGTTGGTCTGTGTTCATTTCAACAATGTAGAATTATTTTTTATTTGTCTTAGCTAAGTTCTCTAAATAACAGCCCCTGGTTTGCAAAGAACAAGGCTTGGAAGCCATATATTGCGTGAACAGATGCATGAGTATTGGGATAAGGAAATAAAGATAGGAAATGCAGAACTGGAGTGAAGAGGAACTGGCAGAAGGATCATTCATAAAAGGTTAAACAAATCCTCAGTAAGCAAAAGTGCGGCAACTACTTTAACTTGAAGAAGATTAAAATGGATAATATATTGATGTGTAATATGTGAAGACTTTTTTCCTGTGCCTGCTTTCAGTATGGCCTAAGTAAGTAAGTAAATTAGGCCCTTCAAGTAATATTGAAGGCCCTAACTTCTCTTTCAGAGTTTTGCTTGATTATTTTTACACTGATACTGTGGCCTTATGCTTGGAGGGGATAGGCTGAAATCCATTATATGTTCTAGAAAATTGATTCTGTCCAAAGGAAGTACAAAACACTACAACGTTCACTTTTGTTTTTCTTCCCCAAATACATAGTGGAGAACTGTAACATGTTCCTCAGTGTCTCACCCATTCTATGTTTCCCTGCTGTGGTGGTTGCTTGGACTGCTTTTGATAACCAGGAGCTGCTTTTGGGCACTTTAGGCACTTAGTTTCCATTTCTGAAATCCTAGAATCACCCTACACGACCCTCCTACGCTTTCTGTGTATCATGAAGAATCCAAGTCCAACAGCGACTCTCTTTACAGCTTTAGGGAAGCCAATGGGGCTTCCTTATCTGTAAAGTGGCGTGGTTATATCATCCTCCTGTGTTGTGATGGAGTTTAACTCTTTGTTACTAGAGTGCTGGGAACATGAAAGGCTGTTTTCCTTACTTCCTTTCTCTCTCCAAAATCCACGTAAGAGGGCAGCCTTGTCTTCCCCAGAGTATTAGCCCGTGGTATTATAACAATGTAGTTTTTCCCAGAAATCTCTGATTTTAATTTTTTGATGGTTTTTATTTTGGCACCGGATTGCATTCTAGTTGATTCTACAGTAATTTGGGGGGGGGGGGATAATGATATGAAAGAAACTAAAGTTAAAAACACCGAGAAATAAGCTATTCTTTTTTAATTTTTTAAAAAATATTTCAGCTTCATTTTTTTAATTAACATTTTGGTTTTAAAATCTATTTGAAAAAAGCACAGTAAATTTGAATATGCAGTTTTGGATAAATCTGAGAAATAGTGTAATGAAAAGAGTGAAATATAGTAAACAATGTAAGAATAAAAGTCAAATGGTAAAAATACAAAATTCACAGCACTATACATAAATAAAAAAATACTATCAGGTTTATGTGGATGACAATCTATGAATCAACAATGCAGAGGACCTTGGTTAGAAAAGATTATTGCCCTAGAAAGACACAGCACTGCACTATTATAGAAAGTAAGTCAATCATTTTGTTTAGTTTGGTACCAAGGAATCAAACTCAGGACTTTGTGCTTGCCAGGCAGGCATTGTGCTGCTGAGCTGTATTTCCTGACCTGAAAATACATTAATCTTGACAATATTTTCAATACTGCAGTATCTTACCAGAGTACAGGAAATTGTATTAATGGCCTTTTTCTAACTGTAGGTGTCATTTAATGTGAAGCAGAGCTGGAGAGGGAAGATCTCATAGTTTTAAAGTTAATATGGTAAAGTGTATGGTAACCATTAGCCTCCACCGAACAGCAGTGGTCTACATTAATTGTTCAATATACTGGTTGTGAAACTTTTATTCCTTTTAAAAACATATTAGAAAATCACTGTATAAAAGTCATACTATAAGAATTTGTTTCTCTTCGATCCCTGTTACAAAAAAAAAAAATTTGTTTCTGATTATAAGTAGGCATTTGTATGTGTGAGTGGATACAGACACCCAGATATTATAATCATGCAGAGCTATTTAGTACTTGTCTGTGTGCGCAGCTCTGTGCATGGTCAACCCAGGGTTTTTAATTTTTCTGAGGTTTTTATGTCAGTCGTTGCAACCAATACAGAGATCAAGGTGACAGGAAGGGCAGCCAAGGTTTTTACACTGCACGGGGTGTGGGTGGGGGAGGCAGAACACTAGTAAATAAGCCCTCAGGACAATTTCAGACTGCTAAGTGCCCTGAAGACAGTGGGACGGGGACAAGTAGAGTGGACTGTTTTACACAGAAGGGCCAGCAAAGGCCTCCACAAAGGTGGCATTTGTGCTCATGAGACAGGCGAGAGTGTGCCGTAGCAGGCTCCAGGTGGTAAGGCTGGAGCAGGATGGGCAGCTGGACCAGATCCACAGAGGCCTGGTCAGTCAGAGGAGAAGTCTGGACCTCACTGGGGAATCAGGAGGCAGGGGAGGGACACCACCTAATTTATGTCACAAAAAGTCCCTCTGGTTGCCCGGAAGGGGAAAAGGGAGAGTTAGAAAGAGGACGCCTGTGGGGCAGATTCTAGGCCTCCTGTAGTCCAGACGAGAGGGCAGTGGTGGTATGGACAAGGCCAAGTGCAGATGGATAGAAAGGGAAGAATCAAAATGTGGAAGCTAATTCAGGGATACTAATGCATTTCAGTCTCGGGAAAAAATAGTCTCATGAAAACTTTTTTTCTTTTTTAACACTAACTTTATGTCAGATACTGGCATTACATGACTTGTATAATTCAAGGAATACATAAAAACAACCACTTAGGCCGAGCAACTATTTAGGCTCCCTGGCAAGTCTGTCGCTCTGGACTGCAGATGTGTTCTTACCTCGGGGAGACCTTCAATGAAAGAGTGGATATTTGCGGCATTCGCAACTTCTTTGATCTCATCCAAGGACACCACACGGCTGTTATCACCATAGGCAATGTTCTCTGCGATGCTACGGTTGAAGAGCACAGGCTCTTGAGAAACGATGGCTATTTGAGAACGGAGCCACTGTACATTTAATTCTTTTGCATCTATGCCATCAAACAGCTGCCAAAAGCAGAATGGAGAATGGTATGTTAAGATCTGACAGCTGTACCATGTTACTGTTCACTGTATTCAAACACTTCAAGCATGTACAAATCATAACAAGAAGGCTAGGAATTCAAGCTATTTCAAAGCGGTATAATGTAACCCAAGGGAGACTCATAAATCAGATGTTGAGTAAAGCAAACAGCATATGACTCACTGAAGTGCTGCTTCCAAACTTACCTGACTGTTCTGGAAATGGCCACATATTCTAGAGACCTGCCAGAAGTGTGGAGTAAACCCTGGTGATCTGTCCTGAAGTCAGATGAAATATGACCACACTCTTCCTTTTCTGTTGCAGGACTCATTTACAGAAGCCCAAAGAGGATAGGTGTAGACTCATACAGAAGATCACTTGTAGAGATAATGTCATTTTGCTCATGGCCATGTGTATGTGCATGGCCATAATATAACAACCTTCAACTGGTGGTTGATGAGCATGCCTACTATGTGATGATGACTCTTCAGGTACCAAGAAATAGTATATGACGAAGCTCTTGCACTATTGTATTCTAGCAGAGAAAGCCAGATAATAAACACGGCGATAAACTCAGAAAAAGAAAGTGCCATGAAGACAGGACAACAGAACAGAGTGACTGAGGCCTGGGAGAGGCTGTGGAAAGGGAAGTGAAGAAGGGTGCATGCCCGAGGGATACTCAGACTGAGCTAGGAATGATGAGAAGCAACTATCAAAGAAGTTGTAGCAAGATGGAGGGCTCATAGATGTGTTTAAAGCACATACAAAATCCAGGGCAATTGATATATAGTAGCCAATGAGGCCAGGAGAGATGCAAGAATTTGGAGAGGGGGGCAGGGCCCAGAGCGTGAAGACTGGCTGATGGTGTGGTCTCTGGTTTGTTTTCAACCATTGGCGCGTTTTGAGGAAGGTGTATGCTATACAATGTACAGACACACAAATATTACTAGTTAAAGAAAGCCATTTTGAACAATTCTTGTTTGAAAATATTCATTGAGTGTATAACTCAGAAAAATCTATAAAGCGTAGTACTATTAATGTAACTCTTTGCTTTTCGGTACTGGAGATTGAACCTAGGGTTTTATGTGCACTAGGCAATTGCTGTATCCTTTGCACTACATCCCTGGCCCAATGTGACAATTTTGACCTGAAGGGCCCTACAGTTTTTTGGAGGAAAGAGGAGGCAGGATGGGAAGTGGGGGAGGGGAGGAGAACAGGGAACTAAGGAGGGGAAGGGAGGGAAGGAGAGGAAAGGAGATCTAGCAGATGTTTTATGTGGTATGGCAGGATAAATCAAGGTATGGAAAACATCCCTTTAGTTCAAAGGAGGATACGGGTACATCTTTTTGAAATCAGAACCCACAAAGTAATGATGATTCAAATAAGACTTAATGACGTATAAGGTATTGACAGTTGGGGTGGGGATGGTCCATGAGAAAAGCATCACTTTGTTATTGGTTTGTTTGTTTTCTTAAAGGTGGGGATAGAGATTTACTTATTATTTTTTAATATCTGCATTGCCTGCCCTGCCCAAACCAGTGAGGACGCTTACACCCTTAAGAGCGGTACCGTTAACCTCCAGATTAGGTGTGATTAAATTCAGTCTTACTACTTGTCCTTTCATGGGATCATAGAATCTCTGCAGGAGTTGAATAGAAGTGCTTTTTCCACAGCCGCTGCTCCCAACGAATGCCACAGTCTTCCCCTTCTCAATACTGAGGGATAAGCCATGAAGGATGAAAACATCTGGGCGGCTTGGGTAGAAGAAAGAGACTTCTCGAAACTCTAAATTCCCTTCGCATGTGTCCTGCGAAAGGAAGGTGACAGTGTTGAGATGGGTGACTTAGGACAGCGGCAACACACGCTGGCATCTTGGCGAAGGGCTCTTTGGAAACTGTATGTTCCCCCACCATTTTAATTTTCAATTTCATATTCATCGCTGGAGAGCTGCTGGCTGCAGGGCAGTTCCTGCCATGCCTCTTATATTTCATATCTATTTTTCTTATTATCTTCACTACTCAATTTCTCCTAACACTGGTGTCTTTTGGCTTGGCTATGCAGACATAATCCATTCCACAGATTAGCTGTGAAACCAGCTGCTCTAAATAAATCTATGTTTTTTTCTTTTTTAATTTGGTTTTTAATTTAACTTGCTTTACAGAATTTTACTGCTTAATTCAGAGGAGCTTGTGTCCTCACAAAGTGTATATTGTAAGCGGGACTGTATTTTATAGTTAATGTACATTGTGGTTTGAATTCTGCTTTTCTTTAGTTTTCATGAATCATTACTTGGCAGTAGTGCTTGCCTAGTTTAGGTTTCTCTCCATCTTTCAGTCTCTTTACTGAATGATGATTTGTATGTAAACCAAATCAGTATATACCAAAAATGTTTTCAAAAGAGTTTCCATAACTATCACCAAGTAGTGATGGACTTTTGCTTTACTTTTTGGCTCATAAAATTTTGGGTTCTTTTGAACTTCGTGTTTTCCCCAACAAATTTTTTTTTTTTTTTTTTGGTGTTGTTGAGGATTCAACCCGGGGCCTCATTGTGTGCTGCACACATTCTGTACACTGGGCTATGTCTCCAATTGCATTTTAACTTTTGTTGGTAAGGTGGATATACACTAAGAAGGGGTAGGTGGAGATGTATGTGTGTTCTTGGGTGGGATGTGTTGGTGGTGGTATTGAGAACTGGACTTCCTGACATATTCCTTACATCAGACTTAGTCACACTTAGCAATTGTTGAACCCAGCCTAAAGGAATCAGGTAGGAGACACATCAAAGGTTTTTGACCATAGGATTCTGTTATCAAAGAAATAAAAAGTTAGTATATGTTTAACAGTTATATGAGATATAATAAAAACTATGGTGCATATTTAAATTAAAAATCAGAAGATTAATTATAGGGTGCAAGTGCCTGCTTGGCAATCATGAGGTTGTGAGTTTGATCCCTGGTACCCAAAAAAAAAAAAAAAAAAAAAAAATTTAGAAAGACACTTTGCCATTAATCTTCCTCAAAATACTCGTCCTTTCTTTGAGCACTCTTATCCCTTTGTTTTTGCCACTTTCTGAAGCAATTCTGGAAGTTCATTTTCCATGAATGTTTTTTTCATGGCTGCTTTTATGTCTTGAATCAATTCAAAAGGAAATTTCTGTAAAATAAAAACATTTTAGTGTGTCCTTACCCACCTCATTCACTGGATCTGACATAGGCAGCTTCTAACTCTTCTCTGAAGTCAAAATTACCTTTTAAGGTAAATGTATAAGAGAGAACGTCCAGAACTACTTTAGATACGGGATGCATGTGTTTGAAGTAAAGGAAAGTATTTTGAAGGGGACTAATGTGATATATCTTTCACAGTAATAAATTTAAAAAATTGAAAATTTATCACATTTTCTGACCGTATCTCATAGAAGTAGAAGAAAATATTGAAACTGATGTATATGCCACAACGTAAGTGTACTATTTCTAATTTTGACCCTTATAATGAAGTTATATTTTTTGACCCTTATAACGAAGTTTGATTATTTTTGCATATGCTGTGTTGCCTTTGGTAAAGGCATAGAGAGATAGTCTGAGAAACTTCTAGACTAATATTTTATAAATTTAGTTTCGCTATTTTTAATTATATTCACTATGGAGATTTTCATTGATATATAAACGTGAGAGAAAAATATAATGTGTTGATATATTTCTATCGCCCAGCTTCAGTGTATATAATTTTTGCTAATTTTTGAGCAGATTTTAATTTTTACTTATTTATTTTTGTCTTTGTGAGACAGGGTCTTACTATGCGGTTCAGGCTGGCATTGGGCTCAGTTTGTAGCCCAGGGTAGTCTCAAACTCATAACAATCCTCCTGCCTCAGCCTTGGGAATACTAGAATTACAGGTTTGAGCTACCATGCCTGGCAAAAAATATTTCTTACATCTTTTACTTTCTAAAAGACGAGTATGAAATCTTATTTCAATTTGATGTATCTGGAGCATTCAAGGTCTTTTTGAGAGTTTCAGGATATTTTATTCCTGTTGTAACAATAAGCATTCCTTTTAATAATTATGTAGATCTTTGATACTGCTTTGTTTTAAACTATCATACACAAAAATCTATTAACATTCTAGAGAAATAGTTATAAATGAAAAAAATTCTAGAGAAGTAATTATAAATGAAAAAACTTTAAATATATACTTAATGGCTGTTCCAAATTTTAAATTTAAAATGTTTAGAAAGGTTTTAAAATTGAATATATATGTTATATAATATTATTATTGAGAAGCTTATTTTGAAATTATTTAATTCTCTATTATTTCTCTTTTAATATTCACAGTCTGTTAGAGTTGTGACTAAATTTGTGTGTATGTATGTCTATTTGTTTATTATTTTTGGTATCAGGAATCGAACTCAGGACCTTGTGCTTGCCAGCCAGGTGCTGTGCTGCTGAGCCATATCCCCAGCCCTGTGTATGTTAATTTAACAAATGTAATTCCCTTTTATTCCTGTTTGTAGATATATTTTTTTAATGAAAAATGTCATTAGGCCATTATTTACTTGCATAAATTATTAGAGGAAAAAATGCGTAAAATCTAATACCAATCTCCACTCAAGACTAAAACTGTTGCTGTCTGAATATCTTTCAAGATTCCCATCAATGCTTTTTTTGAGAATACTTTCATGGGATCAAGCAAATAAATTAAAAGCATGTATTTTTAACATAGAGGTAAAAGTATGATTAAGACAAGGCCCCCTTCCTTCTTTGTGGTCATAAAATTCTTTTATAAACTTTTAACACCTTTTGTTACTAGAAGTATCTTTTGCAGAGTTAAATAATTTCTTCATTGAATAAGTGGACACAAATCATAGTTGTGCTTACTGGTTTTTTCCCTTTTTGACTGTAGATGTTTATAGTTGGTTTCTTTTCCAACAAAGCAAACAGATGCGCAGCTCCAGATTTGGCTTTGGAATATTCAGGTGCCAAAACAAGTGTTTCTCCAATGGCCATCGCTCCATAGGCAATTGCAGTAAAAACTCTATCAAAGGATACAACATGTGAATCTTAGATCCAATTAAAAACAGTAAAACTTTAAAAATAAAGGAAAAAGTAGGCACAGGAATTTAACCTTTTAGGTCAGATAGTGCCACGAATGCATACTCTGTACACCAAAATAACCTTTGGAGTTTGGGTAATCTTAAGAATTTCTTCTCTGATTAGAGACACAGACCAAAGATTCCAGCTAGTCTAAAATGTGAAAGTCACCTTAATGTAAGGCTTGCTTGCTTGGAGATTTTACCGAGAACTCAAATGACAATAAGAATGGGTCTTCAGTAGTAGGATCTAAATTGATAGATAAGAAGTGGGTTTCTCTTCCTTCTTTGCATATAATGTAGTTAGAAGAGATAACTGAAGCTAAATGATTATCTGCCTAATGTACTATGCTCTTTAGAGAGCAAAGCACAGCGATTGTACTTCCTTAAGGTTCCCACACAAAATCTCACTAAAATATACTAGAAGAAAAGCTTTGATCTTATAGGTTTGGTACTGATCATAATCCCAGTTTCACATGTTCATTGTAGAATGGTAAGTAGGCATGATGTTTCTTTTCTTTCTTTCTTTTTTTTTTTTTTTTTTCTTGGTGGTAATGGAAATTGAACCCACAGCCTTGGCACTGAGCTAAATCCCCTGCCCTTTTTAAGTTTTTTACTTTGAGATAGGGTCTTGCTAAACTGCTCAGTCACCCAGGCTGGGCTCAAACCTGAGATATTCTGTCCTTAGCTTCCCAGAGTGCTGCATTACAGGGGTGCACCACCATCCTGGGTGTAATCTGTTTGAATGATGCACAGATAAAAACTGATGCTAATAATGGCCCTAACTCCCACAGCTTCCTGTTTCTTCCTTCCGTTGGGGCCCTAGGAAATACCAAGGTGATGTGATCATTAATCATTCTTATTTAATGGTCTGCCTATGTTGTGACAGCTAAAATGCTCATGTCCCTAAAAGATGACCCGTTGTAAGGAATTTAATTAGAGAAATTCAGTAAAGGTAGTAGGCCAGCAGGGGGAGAAATTTTTGTTAGGCCTTTTGATCCTCTTAGAATTTAGAGCCATAAAATAAGGGAAACCAAGTCACCAATTCCATTTATGATAAGAATCAGTCTAGCTCTGGGTACTTAAATGGAAAACTAAGCAAGAATTATTTTAAAAATAACTTTTCAGAAACATTGTATGAAGGTTTGGAGACAGAATTAGTAATAAATATCTACTAAACAAAGTCCACAGTAGGTGGAGTCAGGAAAGTACATTTTGTGTTTTGCTACTTTTTAGTTATGTGATTCTGAGAAAGTAACCTCTTTGAGTTTTAACCTTTCCACCTGTAATATGAGAATGTTTTGCAGGGTAGTTTAGAGGAGTAAGAAAATAATATACGACGAGTCTTTAATAGCAAGTAAAAATGTACTCAGAATTTACTGTTAGAGCGATTATGTAAATAATGAACTGAATTGCGGTCTTGGGGAGCCTCTTTCTGGAAACATCCTGAGGGACTCACTGGCAAGATGCTGGTCATATGGTGATGTCTCTTTACAGGTGCCCCAAGTTGAACAGCTGTACATGCATAAGGCTACCTTCACATGAGGAGAGGAATTCGAGTAAGAGACTATAGGGCTTGCTTTTTGTATAATAAAACAACACAACACAAAACAAAACAAAACCCAAGATTCCTTAAAGAAGACAAGAAGGGAAGTGTTGCCAAAATCACCCCTCCCTGACTGCAAGCAGCCCAGGAGGAGAGAGATGCCTTCAGCTTGAGTGATGGAGAAAGCATGAAGTCCAGGCCTAGGCTTGAAACCCAGTGCCAGGGCCAGTGCGGTAAACTCCCCTGCCTGGCACAGCCCCCTGATCCCTACACCAGTTGAATGAACACCTGGAGTTGCATTAGGCAGGCAGCTGCAGGACCCTGGCTCCACTCTCTGGGGAGCAGGGCACAGAAGCTGGCACAGGGCTTGATCACAGAGCTCAGTGCCAGGGCTGCTGCAGAAACAGAAAGGCCACATAGAGGCCAGGTTAATGCTGACAGATGGAGCTGCTAGACTGGCCCTGAGCGCCAGAGGGACAGACTCAGGTTTTGGCCACATTATTTCCAGAGACCAGGTAGGGCCTTGCTACTGTGAGACTCGGGGTGACTAAATCAGTTTAGCGCCAGCCTTAGTGGCTAAGGGACTATCTCTTTCACCCACCCTCTGACCTCAAGCAGTACAGCTTTAGCCAGGTGAATGCTCACAGATGGGGCTCTAGTACCTCCCCTGGCACCAGAGAGACTTACACTCCATGGGATGCACTGTGTATCTGCCTGTGTGACCACCAGATGTAGTAAGGGCTTCAGTGGACCTAAGACTGTGCAGGTGGCTGAGGTCATGAGACTTGGGCACAATCTAGTTTAGCATCATCCAAGGTGGCAAGAGACTGTTGTTATCAGCACTGCCCCAACCTCAGGCAGCATAGCATGGAACCAGACCCCACTTGCTAGAAGTAGGACAGAATAGTAAGTGTAAGACGCTGCCCTGGGTCTTAGTACTGGGCTGCTGCAACCTAACAGTGGGCCGATCCTAATGGCCCCCATCTCAGACCTGTGCCGAGGGAGACATTCCGCCTTAGTCTATGGGATTTCTGTTTCAGCTAGCATTATGTGTATGCCTGGTTGTTATGCCATGAGTTCCCCTCCGCAATGACCAGCCCATCACAGTGTGAGCCTTGGTCCTAACCCATGTTGTGTTGGTTTAGTGAGCTATGGGCTCAAGGTGTGACAGTGACACACTTGGTGACCGCAGGTGTGATGTGGGAGCCTGGGGCTCTCCGGTGCATGATGACTCTGCCCATAGCTGGTAACTGTTGATGAGGCATTTGGGCCTTGGTTGGCCCAAGGGCGAGGCTTATAGTGACAGGTTATTCTGTGTTCATTTTTGTTTCTTTCTGAGCAATGCACCCACAGTCCATCTGAAACCAATCTGGTTCCCAGAGAGTAGACTGAGTATGTTGGGGGAGGAGGAAATGGGAAGCTAATGGGTAGTGACAGGAAGATATAGGGTGTTTTTAGTAAGATGAGTATAAATAACAGTAATGTGCACTTCAGAATGTTAGAAGGAAGAATTTTGCGAGTTTTACCATAAAAATTACAAATGTTTGAGGAGATAAGTATGACTAATCTGATTTAAACATTCTACAATGTATATATGTAGCATGACATAACTTGGTACTCCTCTAATGTATGTGTATAATTTTAATGTATCAGTTAAATTACAGTGATTGGCATGATTTTGAAATGGCATCTTTCTTGGAGAAATTCTTTGTTTTAACCTAAAATCTCAGTATAAAACGAGCTCTCAGTTATACAAATCATGTTTTTATATGTCCTAGTCTTTCTGCCAAGGCATATCATAGTAGATGTATGGATGTAGAAAGGAAGAAAAAAATCTAAAAATCAGAAGTCATGTGAAGCTGACTGGAGGCATGTTTCTAGGAATGACTGGACTGCCTATACATGCACTCTTTCAAATTTTCTCCTTTAGTTAACTAATAAATTATTCTGGGCCATTCTGAGGTTTGCATTCAGAGTTTTATGAATGGTAAGATTATAACACTGAGCCATAGCCCCAGCCACCCCCTTTAGTTTTGATTCTGTTATTCATTCCTTGAATATTTATTGTGTCTTTACACTGTGCCATGCCAATTTTTGTTTTTGGTTTTTAGGAAACATCAGTGACAAGACAGACTGTGACCTGTTCTCAGCCTATGAGCTCAATAGGTACAAAAACAAAAATGATAACCTTCTATATCCTAAGACATAGTAATGGCAAAGACAAAGAAGGAGGGCTGCAGGGGGACCATTTTAGGTGATCAGTGAAAGTCCCTTTGAGGAGTACACTTAGGAGCAGAAGCCTGGGTGGAAGGAAGATGGCACAAAGACCTGGGGAAATGATTACTTCAGGCACGGGGAACAGAAAGTACTAAGACTTTGAAATAGGTTGTTCCAGAGACTTAAACCTCAAGTGTGGGGCTGACGTGCAGTTAGCAAGGGAAACAGTAGAAAGCAAGAAGCTCCATCTTGAAGGGCTTTGAGGTCATCGTAAGGAATTTTGCTTTATTAAAATTTCAATAGGAGTCTCTTACAATATTTATTAATACATTAATACAACTAGATTTGTGCTTTAGAAGTTCACCTGGGTGCTGTGTGGAATAGATTCTGGGGAAGCAGGAGGGGATATAGGGTTATCAGTGGGAAGACTGTTGACTTGGTCCAGTCAAACCAGGCAGGAGATTGGGTCAGCATGACATGAGTGGAGGAGCTAAGAAGTATTTTGGATCTACAGCAGTATCAGGACTTGGTAGTCTATAGGGTAGGAGAAACAGCAGGAATCATTCCTAGATTTCAGGTTGAGCAGTTGTATAGATGGTGGCTGTACTTTTAAGAACAGTCCTGGAGATTGACTCAAGTTTAGATGTCTTTGGGGAAGAAAACCTTTGGGGAGATGCATTCTGTTTTGGCCACATAAGCATATTATTAGGTACCCAAGTGCATGTGTGTAGTAGGTAGTTGGATGAGAATCTGATGTTCAGGGTCACAGTTGGAAATATACAGAAGATATCAGAATATAAGTTATTATTTTTGTGTGTGTGTATGTATCGTACCGGGGATCGAACACACGACCGCCTGCTTGCAAGGCAGATGCTTATGCTGCTGAGCTAAATCCCCAGCCCCAGGATATAGGTTATTTAAAATTGTCAGATTAGTTGAAATTACCGATGAGGATATACAGGTAAAAGAAAGGTCTGAGTGCTGAAGCCCTCCAACAACACAAAACCAGGCAGAAAAATAAGAGCCAGAGGAGCTGTCGACCCCACTGAGAGGTCAGTGAGAGACTGGAGAACTGAGCACTGGACAATTGACTGTGGGTGAGTGAGACGAGGGTCAGTGATAACCTTGACTGTGAATCTTTCTAGTGGTGTGATGAAAATAAACTTGATCGGAGTGAGTTTAGGAGAGACAGGAGATGATCAGAGGATGGTGAGGGCAGGAATAGGCACCCATTTGGAATTTTCCCTTAAAGGACAGCAGAAACATAGGAAATTAGTGGAAGGAAACGTCTGGTCATGGAAAAGAATTCTTTATCTTTAGATGATTATAGAACAAAGAACGAGTACTGACAAGTTACTAAAAAGAGATGGAAATTCTGTAAGCGTTTATAAAATCATCAGGCTCCTTACATTAGCATGATTTTTTAATCAGTTTGCTTTCTGCTAAATACTTGAGATTAGTCACACTGAAAGACTGGCACCCTGGAGATTTACCAAGCCAGGGAAGTTTAGAAAAATGTGTTCTGAGTTTGAAGCAATTGGTCTGCAAACAAACTTTTGGAACACTACTAAGTTTAAATGAGGCAGTTCTTGCATTACATTAGAACCAAGGGGAAACCTGCTACTTTAATGGGGGCCTGAGATCTGAATAAATTATATGATTACACATTTTGTTCCTTGTTAATCTGACTGGACTGTAGATCATGGTGAAGCTCAAGGTTACCCTATAATTGTGGCATGGGAACTAGGAACTGCTACTCACTGTTTTAGATGTAAGAAGGACAGTAGAACCAGAAACATGCATTTTTATATTGAAATTTTAAATACAGTATCCTGGTTTTTTTGTTTGTTTGTTTTTTTCTTTTTTTAGACAGAGTCCACCATGTAGTTCAGGCTGGTATTGAATTTACTACGTAGCCTAGGCTGGCTCCAAATTCATGATGATCCCCCTCGTTCAGCCTTCTGAGTGATAGGATTATAGGTGTGTGCCACCATGCCCAGCCAGATAGTCTGTTTTACCAGGAAGTCTGCTTTCAGGAAATTGCTACTTGCCATTTCCTGCTAAACTGCTAGATTTTAGCATAAGTGAGATTCTGGAACCCAACACCTAGCAAAGACACTTTCTCTGTTCATGTTTACTAAATGGAAACACTTTCATTTGAGTAGAGACTAACCTTTATACCAAGTTTTCCTGAAATTATGTGGCTTCAAATGACCTTTGTCTGTCTCCTCTGATTGAGCACATGTCCTCAAAGTACAAATGCATGGCATGAATAAAGATACTGAAAGAACTTCCCGAGACTCAGGAGGTGACACTGAATCAAGAGTACCTAATGTGTGCCCAAACAGTAGCTCTCTTAGGACAGGTGTCATCTCCTTCTCGCTATTCAGGGCAGGCTGACCTTTGTTTTGATGTGCATGTTTTATTGGGTTTGTTTAAAAAAATCCCTTACTTTTTAAAGTTGAATATTTTGTGGAGTTTTTCTAGTTCTAAGTATTTAGCAGTGGCATTTATGGTATTAAATTACCAAATTTCCTGACTTAGGCAGAAGCTCAGAATTAACACTCAAAATTAATTATTCTCTATTTCAGTTAGTTGTATTTAGTCATTTCTATAAAGTTAAAAAAAAAGGCATAACTATGTGAATAGAATTCCAGAATATAAGCCCTAACCAATTCTTTGGGAAGAAGTAGCTTCACTGGTAATCATAATTGTTCCAAGTGTGACTTTTTGAAGGGAAGTACTCATATATATATATTATATATATAATATATATAAAATATATATTTAATATATTATATATTAATATATATTTATAATATATAATATATATTTAATATATTATATATATATTTTATATATATTATATATACATATATATATGAGTACTCTTGAGTCTTTTTTTCTGGAGTCTTTGCTTAGCAAACAATTCAGCCCTTAAGACAGTCATGGTTAATAAATGCATCTTCACACTGGGAATTCCACAAAATCACACAGATTACCTAGGGAATGGATATCAAGAAAGATTTTTTGCCCCTATATTCCCAAGTTATAATAAGCAGAAACAGCGAGTGATTCATTTGGATGTTTAACTCAGACTGTTTGTATAATATCAGTATCAGTACTTTACCAGCTATGCTATAGGCCTTATAGATATTTATTAATAACAAAAATTAGCTTGATTAAGTCATCCCAAAGTATAAACATATATCAAAACATCATATTGTACCCTATAAGTATATAGTTTCTAATTATTATTTATCACAAAATATATTCAAAGCATGCCAGTGCCACCTAAGCGGTTAAAATGATGATCTTATATAACTATTACCTCTCTGTCAACATGTACAGTAGTGTATGCTCTACTTATACAGTCCCTGTGTCTGCACAACTTACACGAACATGCCCTCTGGTGTCATTCGTCCAGCTTGAATTAAATAGGCTCCAAATTGAAATCCTGCCGCATAGGCGAAATATACAAAGGCATGGCTGAATGCATAACAGCTTCCAATGATCTGTGCTTTCTTCAGGGTATTTCTGAAATGCAGTTTGCCAAATAATGGGGCATGAATTATAGCAAAGTCACTTAAATAAATGTAGAGTAATGAATATAGAGGTCCTTGAAGTGTTAAAATTTGGGCAATAAATACTTTCTAAGGATTGAAGAGCACATGATTTTTATTTTACTACTAAGAACTATAGAGAAGGCAATATCATATCATATCATGATTTTCTCTATGATATATACTATCTAGTTAACTGTAACAAATTTGCCTTTGTTTACTTTCCAACAAATAGACAAAGTCTGTGAAAGGACAGTTAAAGAGATTTGGGTTAATGGCACTTAAAAATATTCCCTAATTCTCTATTGTAAGCCTGCATTAAATACATAGTGACAGTAAAGGGTGATGCTGACCACAAGCATGAATGCAAAAGAGCACAGAGCCGTCTCTCTGTCAGCGTAATACAAAGAGTGCCACTGAACACATCTATTGTGTGTATATTTGGTTTAAATTGTAAACTCTCCGAGGGATTTTAATGCAAAAAATAAACAATCTTTCCTTTTTACACATATTGTTTCCTCCATCTGATTTCAGAAAACTGACAAACACACTTAAAGAGTAGATACAGTGCACCAAAAAAAAAAAAAAAGTGTACATCAGAAAAAGTAAAATTTGTATAGATATTCTGATACTAAATTTATTGAGACATCATGAGATTAATAAAGGTTACCTTTGGCCCCTCCAGTGATAAGCATTGCTCCAAGTGGTGGCCTTGGGCTGCCACACCTTTATTAGTATGACAAACTGCTAAAGTGTATATACATTTTTTTGGTGCACTCTGCAGTAACATGGAAGACCTAATATATTTATTCTAGTTGTGCTTTCCCTTGATTTGTCATTGTTTCTTCTTGATTCAGTCATGTGAGAAATTATATCTCCTTCTTAGGAAAGCCAGGGGATTGGCCAGCAACCACTGAGGAGCACTGCGTTTGCAGTCAGAGTGGGTAGGAGGGTGGAGAGGAGTCTATAGTCACCTGTGTTGGGTCTGAAGAGTCTCTTCGTACATTTGCTCAAAGACTTTTTCTCTTGTTAATGACACTATAGTACGTATATTCTCCACAGCTTCAGTTGCTATCTATAAAATAAAGTATAGAAATAAAATCAGTACTGGTAGTGAATTCCAGTCACTTACAGTGGGGTCACAGTAAGTATGTCAAACCAGTAAGTTTTTCTGGCAAATATTCTTATTTCCTCTCCAATAAGATAAAATTATTTTCAGGATAATATAATTTAGGAAAATTACTTTTGAAAAGATTTAGTGTACTGTTTAGCCTCCTTCAGATTTTTACTGAATTTCAATTTCAATTGGTTCCACAGGCAGGGGAATTACATATTAGTGAGCATTATGTTTATATGCACAGGATTTTTCTATAAATTATGAAACAACTTAAATAAATGATAGTAGAGAGAATCAAGTAAATAATTATTTTATTTTAGCACAGAAATGCAAATAGCAACCAAAGAGCACTCAGGAACATTCCAATAAATTATCATGTGATGTGCCTATAAAATTCTTTATAAGATAAAACCATTTCTCATTTTGATGTCTGTGAACTTCAGCTTTAATTCAAATGTGATTAATGCTCCTCCACATTTACATAAAAGACTGTATAATTACATTCTCCATGTTTTCAAAAAGAATGTATAATTACATATGATTCAAGATGGAGGAGGACTTGGCTTAGAATAACTTTTGGGCAGAAGAGCACAGGTAGGCTTGAAAGACAAACTTCCCATTTCTCTGTTTAGCTAGGAACTGTCACTGCAATCCATTGTGGGAGACAGGACCCCACATAGACATCTCACATTATAGGGAAATAATTTGGGTTGCAGGGGAGAACTAGACTTCCGGATTGTGGTTATCTGATCTGTTCTCAATTTTTATGTTGTTTTAAGTTATAATAAATTTCAAAATACTAAAGAATTCTTCATTATTGCTGTATTCTGTACTATGCAAGGAAAACATAAAAAGGCTGAAGACTTGTTCAAGGAAAAATAAAGAAATGAGCAACAACAAAAAAGTCTTTCTGATTATTTTTCACTATTTATTTATTTTTGTCTTTTTGAGACAGGGTCTCACTGTCCAGTTCAGGCTGGCCTTGAGCTCACTTGGTAGCCTGTGCTGGTCTTGAACTTACAAGGATTCTCCTGTCTCAGCCTCCCGAGTGCTGGGGTTACAGGTGTTAGTCACCACCTCTGACTTATTTTTCACAATTTAGAAAGGAATTTCACTACAGAATCTTAGAAAATACTAAATACATCTTTAAAAACTAATAAATGCATTTAAAGTCTTACAAAGGAAACGTTTGATAATTTGTTCAAATCTACAGATGTAACTAAAGAACAAATATGTTTTATGACTCTACATTCGAAATTGATCCTTTATAAATTAACTTATTAAAAACTACAGGAAAAGCACTTAGATTGACTATTTGCAAGGAATTACTGACTACAAATCTGAGGTTATTTTAATATTATAAGTGATTGTCCAGTGGTGGAAAACCTATGGCATATGTTATTTGTTTTTCTTTTAAAACAAAAGATGTTGACATTTGGGCAGTCATTTCCAAAAGATTTGCCATCACTGGGATAGAAACACGTGTAGCTAAAGCCATAACATGCACACAAAAGTAGGATGAATGAACTCTAAGTAGTGTCTCATTAATTTATAAATTGGGCAGATTTTCATAGATTTTAGTCATATAGGGAAAGCTAAACAACTTCACTGTCTCCAAGGCAAATATTTGTTGAACAGTTGAGTCTATGTAGCACAAGCAGAGACTGTAAAGGTCTTTGTCTAGTGCCAAAAAGTGTCTGACCAAGGGTCAGACAAACCAGAACATGCTGAATATATTCTTGGCACATTCCAGCCGTGAATCAGTCACAATGACACAGACTATAGGGATGGTAAAGTCATTTTCATAGTCAAAGGCTATTCACCAATGTGGTAAACATCTTTGTAACCATGTCATGGGATGAGCAGCTTAAAGGCCAGGATGTATGTTGAAGATAAGACTCAGTGTGTATGTGAGTCTTCTAAAAGCTGTCATGGGAAGTAGGTTTTGGAGCTTACCAAGTTGAAAGCCAAGAAGTGCGAGATAGAAAACCACCAAAGGATAAATAAACAAAGCAAGAACAACAGCAAAGAGCATAAAAACAAACAAACAACAAAAAACTATGAGTTGTCTATGGTACAAAAACAGGCAGCTTGAGAAAGTAACGTGCTTCCTGCCAAGGGAGGGGAAGGATGGGCAGAAGGTGGTAGAGTTATTGGCAGTGATGCACAAAGGATTCCTACTGTAGGAGACTGGTTGGGTCAAATAAAATCTCTTTCAATTCATAGGTGTTACAGTAAAGTTTTCTTTAATCTTCAACATTTCCTTAAATCTTCAGTGAGTTTTTTTTTTTTTTGGTAGCAAGGATTGAACTCTGGACTTCATGCTTGCTAGGCAAGCACTTAAGCCACTGACCTAAATCCCCAGCCCTAAATCTTCAATGATTGTGTGAGCATGGTTGATTCTGAGAAGCTTAAATATGCCAAAGAATTTTTCAAATAGTTCCATAAATTGTTCAACTTGGTCAGCATTCAACTGGTCCTGTGTCTAAAAGCCTTACTTTAGTGGTTATTAATATCAGTTCATGGCCTTGAATTCGGTAGTTATTATGTTTCATGTTTGTTATGAAAAATCAGATGCCTAGAAGAGTGGCTCATGAAAATGTAACTATTAACAATTAGAGAATTACTAACAATTAGGGGAGTCAATGTGCTAGAAAACACCTCCATAATAGGTAATGGTAATAAGGGCTGACATTAAATGCTTACTGTCTCTTAGGCACAGCTTTGTATCTATAACACTCATCTGTATAATTCACAAGTGCATAACTGAATTCTATTATTATTGCCACTTTTCTTTTTTTTGAGATAGGATCTTGCTATATAGTTCAGGCTGGTCTTCACAACTCACTACGAAGCACAAGATGGCCTCAAACTCATGGTAATCCTCCTGCCTCAGCTTCTTGAGTGTTGGGATTACAGTGTGCACCACCATATCTGGCTATTATTCGCATTTTATAAAGGTTGACACAACACGCTCATATCTCTTATTTGTTAGACATAGGATGTAGATTCTAACCTTGCCAGTTAAGACTCCAGGTCCTATGGTCTGAATGGTGAATTTTATTGCTATAACTAATCTACCTTATCTTACACTGCTCTTTATGTGTATTACCCCTCTCCAGACCCTTAAGTAATGAATTTAATGTATGATAAAGACAGAACTATGATTATTTTTCTGTTACAATATGATGCTAATAGCAGCCTTCATTTACCTTTCCAGCACGCTTGAATTCTTGTTTATCCTTGATGGCAAATCCAGTCACTGCTGCAGTTTCGATCATCCCTGTTAGAGCAAGGACTGGAGCAATGATCAGAATCAAGAGTGTCATCTCCCATCCATATATAAGGGAGATGATGACTGACAGTCCCATGTTAGTTACATTTTGTGTAACGACACCAACCCTTGAACTTGTTGCCTATAATCAGACATATTTTAGGAAAAAAATGTCAATTTATTTAAGTGTATAGGATTTTTTTGTTTTTATCGGTACCGGGGATCGAACTCACGACCATGCGCTTGCAAGGCAGGCACTTATGGTGCTGAGCTAAATCCCCAGTCCCTGGATTTATTTTTTAGTATGTTGCACTATAAGGTAGGCTTCTTCAAAAGGTTTATTATATTTAGGTCTATGCTTTGAATTTATATTTATTGAATAAGATATATATTGTTAAAATGCCTTCACTTTAAGGAGTCATGGTTCATTTTTCTGTTTTTCGTCCAATATTGAGATGTGCACATGAACTGGTGTATAGTTTGGTGGAACATGTAGAACAGGAAATATATAAAAGCATGACAGAAATAGGTGATCTGAAATGAAATATCTCCCACTTAAAGGAAAACATATTGCTGTCTCTCTCAGATGCTTTTTGAATTGTTCTGCAGGACTTTATACTCTACTCCAAATTAAGTGTATTAAATGTTGTTACAGGATTCCTTTTTGTTGTCTTAATGACACACACATATACACACATACACACTCACTGCTTCCATGTTCATTTACAAACTCTTGAAGGTAAAAACTGATCCTTAAAAGTACAAGACTCATGGTTACTGGGAAAAAAATCTAACTGAAAAAAACGAAGCCAATCTTTAGTTAGACGTTTTTCACTGCTTCCTATGTATGAAGTTATATGTAGTTATATTTATTGGGAATTTAATGAGGAAATAAATATTTCAATATGAATGAAAACTCTAGTTTTACGTACATGCATAATGGATTCACTTAAAATGTAAATGTTTAGAAAAAATGACTTATGCGTATCCATTCTTCATGAATTCTGTCTCAGGGTAAAAAAGAAGAAAATGCTATATTTTAGCTTACATAACCCTGACCCTTGCTGTCCCCTGCATGAACACCACCTTCTCTTACTTGGACTCTGCTCCCCCATGTTGGGCTGTAGCAAAACATGGATGCCCACCTCAAAATATCTGAATTTAAAACTGGACCCTGTCCCTGTCCCACACTGCTGGAGGGCCAGCATTGTTAGCCACTGCATCACAGTAGTGTTGAAAAGAAAGATCAAGTGTATTATTTAAAGCCTATCCTTTTTTTATACTGGGAATTAAACTCAGGACCTTGTACTTGTCAGGCAGGCACTGTGCCACTGAGCTACATCCCTGGCCCTAAAGTGTATATTTTGGGTATGTTTCTTATTTTCTTTTTGTACCTCTTAAAGTGATATCATTATATAAAGATCTGAAGAAGTAATATCAAGATAGAAAAGGACTTGCAAACATTATAGTTCAAGGTAAGACAGAAGAAATTCTAAAAATTCTTCAAATAGAAAAAAATTGCCTTCATAATTGCTTTAAAGGAAATATGTTTTATATATTGTCTTTAAGTGGGACTCATGATAGGTAGGAAATTAAAATGTTAAGTTTCTTTTTTGGGGTGTGGCGCTGAGAATTAAACCCAGTGCCTTGTACACACAAGGCAAGAGCTCTACCACTGAGCCACGTCCCAAGCCCTAAAGTGTTGTTTCTTTCCTGATGGCATGAAGAAATGAGGGTCCCCATTTATTTTCCTAGAAATATAGTTATAATGAACTACATTTTAAAATTTATATTTTAGGCAGGTATAGTGACATATTCCTGTAATTCCAGTATTTTGAAGGCCAAGGCAAGAAGATTATCCTGAGACCAGCCTGGGCTGCAGAGCAAGTTCCAGGATAGCCTGAACTACAGATTGATACCTTGCCTCAATTAAACAAAAAGTAAAATAAAATACATCTTTTGTTAGGGTCCTGAAATCATGATAATGACAAATTTTAAACAGTGTTAAAGTTTTCATTTCTCTAGACATGAATACTCATGTCAAATTTGGATTGCTGTGTGCATGCAATTTTATATTTTACTTTTATCCCTTACATTATACAGCAAACTCTTTTGGACCATCAAATATTCTTCAATGAATATCTGAATTGCTTCCAATTTTTCAATATTAAGAATAAAACGCATAACAAACAACTTTGGGCAAAACCTTTGTGCACATCTTTAATTTCCTAATGTTATATTCCTAAATGGAATCGTGTATTTAGGTATATATTTATATTCTTTTTTTTTTTTTTTTTTGGTGCTGGGGATTGAACTCATGACCTCATGTTCACCAAGCAGGCACTTATGCCGCTGAGCTAAACCCCCAGCCCTTACATTCTTGATAGATGTTGTCAAATTGCTTCTCTAAGAGATTATACCAATTTTTACTAAGCTACCAAAAATTAGCTGGGGTATACAGCTGGGGTATGCAGTACATATAGCAGAATGAATGGCATAAGAAAGTGTAAGGAAACTTAGTATACAATTGTAGAAATTGAGTTGTATATGGTAAGTTTTGTGCCTCTGGCTAATATAGAATAACAGGGATTTATTCTGTCACCTTAAACAAACAAAAATAGATAAAATACACCAATGGTTTTTAGACATTGGACATAGATAACCAAAGGCAGAGATGGCAAACACAGAAGGTGAGCTCTGTAATCGCCTCAGCTCACTTTCTTGAGAGATTTTCCAGGTGGCAGTTTAGGGAGGATGAACTGAACCAGAGCCCAACAGGCGCCCTGAGTTGAGTAGATGAATCTGAGCATCTGAGAAGTCCAAGTCTGATAGAGTTTGCCCTACAGAGTACCAGAGATGAGGGAAGTACACAGATTAATCAGGATATTTGCAGAAGGTCCTCTTTGAATATTTGGTTAAGCAGTGCATACATGTTAAGACTGAAAATTGTGTCTGTTCATGCCTGCCAACTGGAAAATTCTGAGTTATAGGTCTGTGAATAGATTGTGTAGATGAGCCAGGCATTGGTAGGACGCTTCAGCCCTGCCTAACAAATCTCAAAATGAAGAGCCCAGATGTTGCAAACGGTTCCTAGTTCACTTAAAATGTATCCAGAACAAATCTCAAGAATTTTTACAGAAATACAAAAATAGTCTGCACTAAAATATTTAATTCACACTGTGTGGGATCCAGTTACAGATTACTACATATGCTAAAAAGTACCAAATTAGAATGTATAATAAGGAAAACAAGTAATCAAACCAACCCAGGACTAACAAAAAGTTAGAAATGCTGTATCATTTACCTATATATAGAGTCTTAAAAATGTTGAATTCATATAAATAGTAAAACCGTGGTTAAGAGAGGCTGACATTTGACATGATTGAGAGATGCTGGTTAAAGAACATAAAAGTTTCACTTAGACAGGAGGTGTAAGTTCAAGGGGTCTTCTGTACATCATGGTGACTATATTTCATATACTGTATACTGGAAAGTTACTAAGAAAGTAGATTTTAAATTCTTTCACAGCAAAAAAGTATATGATGTAATCATATATTAAAGTTTGATTTCTCTGTTCTAAAATGTATACACATATCAAAATATTGCTTGTATACCCTAAATAGGCATGAATTTTACTGATCAGTTAAGCTACTACCAAGATATACCATATATTTAAAAAATCAAGAGAGAAAAATATGTATAAAAGAGCTGTATCAAAATTCTAAGAATGAAAAATATGTCTGAGATGAAAAATATGTGAAATAGGATAAAAAGTAGATTAAATATTGAGAGAGAAAAGATAAGGGTTTTGAAGATGCAGCAGAACAAACTATTCAAAATAAATGCCAAAAAAATAAAAGAATTATAACATTTTTGAGCTGCAGTAGAACTTGGAGCAGCTTAATATATGTGTAGTTGGGAGTTCTCAAAGATGAAGAGGGACTAGAGTGACGAAAATACTTAAATAATGATCACTGAAATTTCCAAACTTGGTGAAAAGTATAAGTTCATGAATTTTAAGACCAGCAGTGAGCTTTAAACACAAGTTGGACACAGTACAAAATGGTTTCACAATCAGGAATTAAGAAAACAAACTTTAGGGGTTGGGGATTTAGCTCAGCGGCATAAGCGCCTGCCTTGCAAGCAGGCAGTTGTGAGTTCAATCCCTGGTACCAGTAAAAAGGAAAAAGACAAAAAAAAAAAAAAAAAAAAAAGAAAACAACTTTACAAATAGCTAAAGAAAAAAGAAACATGCAGAGGAAAAGGATATGGAAAATGACAAATACTTCATTAAAAAAAATGCCCTGAAGAAAACATAGAGCAACATTTTGAATCACTGAAAGAAAAAAAACTGTCAACCCCAATTCTGTACTCAATAGAAATCTATTTCAAAATTGAAGGTGAAGTAAAGACTTTTTCAGGCATGTGGAAGCTGAAATAATAATCACCATTACAACTATACTACAAGAAGTATGAATGTAAGGGAAAAATCACATATAAAGGTAACCCATTAGTATTACAACGAACTTCTCAATACAAACATTAAAGGCTAAGAGAGCCTGGAGTGAAGAGCTTCAAAAATAGCAACTTCCAATTCAGGCTAATAATACTGCAAAACTGTCTTTTAAAATTAATGGAGACATAAGGACATTCCACAATAAAAAACATCTTAGGAGATACATTAATATCAAACCAGTACTCCAAAATATATTCAATCATATTCCAGACAGAGACAATGAAGCCAACACAAGCAAACATCAGATGGAATGAAACAAGCTAATTAGTTAAAGAAAGAAAAAATTATGAAGTCAACAACAGCAATAAGAGGAGTAAGTTAATATCTTTCAATAATAACTCTCAATGTAAATGGCCTCAACTAACCAATTGAAAGACACAGATTGGCAGACTGGATCAAAAACAGAATCCAGTATTCTGCATTTAAGAAACTCATATAATACATAAATAAATATATAGACTAGAATTCAAAGAAAGGAAAAAATATTCCATGACCAGGACCCTGAAAGTAATCTGGAGTAGCAATTTTATTCTCAGACAAAGGAATCTTCTCTCAAAACTCAGTGACAAAGAAGGTCACTGAGTATTTGTTAAGGGAACAATTCAAGAAGAAGAGATAACAATTGTGAATATACATATTCCCTAAATACCGGGACACTGAACTTCATAAAGCAAACACTGATAGACATAAAAGATCAAATAAATGCCGAAACTATAACGTGGGGGACCTTAACACCCCACTCACAGACAGATTAGCTAAACAAAATGTTAACAGAGAAATATCAGAGCTGAAACACACCTTCAGATAAACAGACTTAATGGATATTACAGAGTATTCTCTGCTACTACAACAGAATATACATTCTCAGCAGCAAACAAATTTCTCCAAAATAAATCACATAGTAGTCCATAAACCCTGCTTAGATCATAGTGCACTGAAAGTAGAAATCATTGCAAAAGGAATCACATAAATTTCACTAATAGCTATGTATTAAGTAAGTCACTCTTGAACATTCAGTGGGTCATGGAAGAGATTGAGGAAACTAACAGAATTGAATGATAATGCTAATTCAACATCCAAGAACCTAGCAATCCTGGGAGAGAAATTTATTGCGTAAATGCTTACATTAGAAAAATAGTGCAAACTGAAATAAAGAACCTAATGATGCACCTCAAAAAACTAGAAGAATAAGAACAGTCCAAATCCAAACCCAATATGTACAAGGAGAAATTATTAGAATCCAAACTACAAAAAGGAATACAAAAAATTAGTGAATCAAAGAGCTGGTTCATTTGAAAGCATAAGCAAAATAGATAAACCGTTGACCAAAATTATCCACAGAAGGAGAGAAAATTGTCATAATTACAAATGAAAAAGGTGAAATCACTATGGATACTATCCAAATCCAAAGGCCTATAACTCTACTTGTTCTCTTATTTTAACAAAAAGATGGAAAACTTTATCTCACTCAAATTAAAATTTTTTCCTGAGTTAATCCCATTTATATAAAGGTTAAAAAATAATTGGAATAAAATCAATAAATTACTCTCTTACATACACACTATATTATTCTATTTAAACTGATTTTGCTTATGACACATACACATGTTACTTACACAGTGTGATTGGTCATAATTGCACTCACCCATTTAACCTGATCGATGAAAAAACTAGCACAGAATCATTTCTAGAGGCAAAAATGAATTGAAATGTTTAGACCATGCTTTAGATTATATTTTCTGGGGTAAAGAAAAACTATTAAAATTCTCAAAGTGATTATTTTCTTTCATTTTATTACTTTTTGTTAATTCTGAGCTCTCTTCTGTAACTTTTTCTACATTTTTTTAGTCATCTAGTTATCCTAATATATATACTAAAGCTTCTTCATTTTGAGTTAAAAATGCCAAAATTAAAAGGCTTCCTCACATCTTTCACTAAGAGTTCCCTTTCAGCTATGAGACTCACCTGGTCTTAATGATGGGAATCATCACAGCATAGCTCACATATGATCGCAGACACCTTTGGGTAGATAACCATGTTTGTGCCACATATGTACACTATTTATAAATAGAAACAATATACATACCCCTTGAATTTGTGCTATATCTGTGGCTAATGTTGTTGTTAAGGCTCCTGTGCTGTTTTCTTTATCATCAAACCAGGAAATATCCTAAAAAAAAAAAAAAAAAGAATTTGCATATCATTAATCAAAAGCATTCTTTGATTTGTGAATTGTTGTAGTTAGAAGGTGTTTATTTATATTCTCACAAGTACTTAATTCTTAAAAATACTATGAATTAATTAAGCTTTTCTTCTTATTTCATAAAGATCTATATTTTGGAATAGACTGAAGAATTTGAGCCCAATAGCTTGGCTTCCTTGCCATGTTACAGTATTGTATAAGAGTCAGTGTTGCTGGGTGTGCTTGTGCAACTCAGGAGGTTGAGGCAGGAGGATGGCTTTGAGTTTGAGGCCAGCCTGAGCTACACAGTTGTTCAAGGCCAGCCTTAACTATATGGGCATACCCTGTCTCAGAATAAAATAAAAGCTAAAATGTTGAAAACAATGATTTAGAACCATCCAAGAGTTTGCAATTTTACTCCATAAATACTTTGTGGAAGGCAGATTCTATTTAAATAGTAAACATTGCATACTACAATTTATATTCTTTTCAAATTTACCTAATTTTCCTAATGATAGACGCCTATCATCTCTTTAGGCTCCACATAGGCAGAATGTTATCCCAAGATTTTATGAGAGCTAGACATTGTGCAATGCTAAGGAGGCAGAAGGCTATCAAGCTGCAGGCAAAAAGCACACAATCTAAGTAAGACGGGTCAAAAATACTAGCAATAAAAGCATAATGGAAGACCCAATGTCATCGTCAACAACTACGAGAGAGCATTTCCTAGCACTTTTCAACCTGAGGAGTCCTGATTTCCTTTCATTAGCTATTGAATGTTTCCTCCCACTCACTCAGTCACTTGTATCTCTTGTGCTACAAGAATGTGGAGACTGTCTCTGAAACAATGATTTATATTTAGTAAGTAAAGAGAAAAAAAAACAGAAACAGAAAAAGAAAACAAAAAATTGTTTTACTGCAACTCAGCCAGGGGTTTGATGCCCAGGTTACACACTGCTATAAACTAAGGGAACAAAAACATAACAGATTGAAGTTTGTGCATTGTCACATGGTTGTGTTAGAAGCAAACTCCCCAAAAGGAATGTGGCAACAGCCAGGGTGGGTGCAGTGTGACGGTACTGTGCTGTGAGCCACTGTTTTAGGAAAGTGCACAATAAATTTAGGTGGCCAAAGTGTATCCTAGAGAGATCTCAGTCTGCATTACACAGTAGCCACTTTAAAATCACCACCCCACCAAAATTCTACCATACTGTGAACTCATCAGCAACAGTGTGATAGTTTGTTATAGTACTCGAACTGGTCATTGCCTCCTTTTATTATATAGGCCCCTCCCAAAATTAAGATATAGTGTTTTCTACTTGTCTCTAGATTCCAACATGACATAGAATATGAGAAGTTTTTGAGACAATACAAAATACAAGTATAAGAGGGAAAATTAACATTGAATATTCCTGTTTCTACACTAACTTCCTATAATACACAATGTACAGTACATATAAACATGTGACTTGTCTTAGTCATCCTATGTTGAATCATCAAGATATCCAAGTCAGCAAGTCAGCAGCTATGCCCTCCAGGAATTGTTTTTCAGCAATTTATGCCAAAATATGTAGCAGGGGGCTGAGGATTTAGCTCAGTGGTGTAAGCACCTGCCTTGCAAGCAGGCGGTCGTGAGTTTGATCCCCGGTACCGATAAAAATGAAAAAGACAAAAAAAAAAAAAAAAAAAAAAAAAAATCCTCAAAATATGTAGCAGAGGTTTTAGAGCTGAGCTACTGCTGAGCCAGACTAACTTGCTTTCTGCCTTCCTGATGGTAAAATAATTGTGAGTAAGGCTGTCAGGCTTTTTGATACTAATGGATCTATTCTTTCACCTGTTAATAGTAAATACAACTATAGTTTAATAAGTGCTGGGCATGTATTTTCTCATTTAATCATCCCAACAGCCCTTTGAAATCGCTACTGGGAATCTACATTTACTAATGAGAAACTAAGGTACTGACAGATGAAGTGACTTGCTCAAGGCCACACAGCTAACTGGTAAGTGCTGAAATCAGGATTTGGACTTTTAGCAGCCAGAGACCAGAGTTCTTTTTTTTGGTACTGGGGACTGACCTCACAACCTCGCACTTGCCAAGCAAGCACTTGTGATGCTAAATTCCGGGGCCCAGCCCAGAGTTCTTAAGGAATGAGCCTGTTCTGCCTTCGATCTATCTGATGCATCACAGTTGCGTTCTATTAGCTATTTTCTCTAGCTTCAGGACTTGTTATCTCAAATCCTTTTGGAAATGACTTCAGCATTTTTTAAAGGCTCCTTAGTGGCCACCACCAATACTGTCATCCAGTGATTTAAACACTTTCAGAGAAGATGCAGCCAATCCAATTAGAATGAAATGGCTCCAAACAAATTTTGTATGTGTTCAAAATCCCCATAGTGTCAGGGGTCAATATTAATAGATAATAAATATAAATAGCTTGAAATACAATGAACAACAAATCATTTACAATTGGGAGGTCAGCAACACTTAGAATATTCATATCAACGAGAAGTTTCTAAATCACATAAAATACAGATCTATAATCTACAAAAAGACCACACCTAATTCTATGAATGCTTCTCCCTCAACTGAGATTTCAAAGTAGTTATATAAAACTTCAGCATGGTTTAGAAACCTTTTAAGGTCTTATTCTAGAACAAAAAAAAAAAAAAATAGATAATAAAGTAAGGAAAAACCATATATATTAGGAGCTTTCCTTTCTATAGACAAAAGTAAAATTATAGACACTTATAAAGAAGACCAGCTACACTATACTTCTCTAATTTTGAAAAACAAAGAGTATGAAAAGAATATTAAAGGAAGAGGAAGCAAACAAACAATAATACTGAAAGTTGAACTGTGGGAGAAATTAGTAACCTTCATTGCATGAGGATTCTGAGTTTCTTGTGAGTATGTACATGTCCTTTGAAGGACAGAGTTCATGGCTTATAGTTTAGGCTCTTCTTCTGAGCAAAAGTTATTTTATCCAAGAATGTTGCTGGGCTAGTGTTCACATGGCCAACACTAGAGAAAATATTAATGTGCAAAATATTAGACTGACAGTACTTCCACTGGCTAACCTGGCCCAGGCCCTTGAGATTCTTTTGCTACAGGCATTCCATGAAAAAAAGAAGTTCAAAGTGAGGCTTTAATGACTGGGAAACAGTCAAATTCATATTTTCCTGTACAAAATCACCCAAACATTCAAAAAGCATTTAAAAAATTCCTAGAAATAGAAATATCCTTGAACAGGGAAGATGAAAATTCATGAAGACAAAAACAAAAATTGTCAATGTGAAGCATAGTGATAGTTACAGTCTCCATCTATGTAAAAGATTTTAGGTAAAGGTTTAACATGTTAATAAAAGTGTAAAGCACAAATTTAACAAAGGAAATATATATAGGCATTAATTAATTTATGACCCCTAAACTTGATTTTTCTTTTACTAGATGAAAGAATGTTTGCAAACATGCAGCAGAAATCGGAGGCAGGACCTTTTAAGCACAGGGTGTAAGGTACTGACTGCGTCAGAGCTTCAAAAACTCCAACTTACTTCACTACATTTTGTCTTTTTTTAGGACCAGAGATTGAACTCATGACCTCACACTCATCGGACAGGCACGTGTGCTGGCTCAGCTTATCTCTGGGCCCCTTGCATTTTGCATTTTGCGTCTTTCAGTTCCCCAAGACTATAAAGACTGCAGAATTTTGTTACATGGCTTCTCTGAGAGTATTACTCCTAAAAGTCGCAAGATGTAAACACTGGTTTTGATGACTCAGCTGGAGTGACAGTAACTCTTTCTGAAAAAGAATGATGCTGGCAGGAAGTTATTTGCCCTTATTTGGTGAGATTTGGTGACAAAAAGTGAGGCAGAAGGCTCCAAATGATTCCTGCCTTTGAGTAACCCACTACTCAGACTCAGGAAAGAATTTTAGAAGTGTCGTTTGCCCCCAAGATTCACTTTTCCAGATTATTGCTGGATCCACCAAGTTTTAGATATTTCACAATGTGGTCGATCATCTGTGTGTGGCAGGCAGACTTCCAGTTGGACTGATGTTATCTGGAGTGAAGGACTGTTTCCATAAAGGCAGAGAGATTTGCTTTGAGAAGTATGATGTGAAAAACTTAAACCTGCCCATGGATGAGTAGTGGAGAAATTATTAACTTCTTCCATTCAACTGTGTCCCCAAGATACTGGAGCTCTTACCTCCCCCTCTTCAGTTTTAATTTGGTCCTCAGTTCATATCCTACAGCACTGCATTATGCATTGAAAGAGAGGCTGGGTAAGTTGAACATACAGTAACAGGAGTGGGCCCTAAGTGCTTCTTTTTAATGAATTTCATTTTTACTCATCACAATTTTCTTCTTCTTTTGCATCATTAAAGAAACTCAGGCCCTTGGACTTGCCAGGCAGGTGCTGTGCCACTGAGCTATATTCTTGACCCACATCACAATTTTTAACCTGATATTTTATTAAAAAGATGCAAAAATTTTAGCATCAATTTTTGATTCTATGGACGAAAAACATGCTTTTCAACAGTCAAAAGGAAAGACTATGTCAAGAAATTATCTGAGAAAGAACTAAAAACTGGCATATTTTATAAATTTCAAATAAAATAAAAATTCAACTAAACATACTGACCTGATATAACATGGCTTTGAATGCTAATTGTCTTAATCTCATGGTTAAAATTTCCCCAGATTTGCCATAGAACAAGCCCTGGAAAACAAAAAGACAACCTACATTTATTCATAAGTCTCTTTACTATTTCTTCTTCTTCTTTTTTTTGGCACCAGGGACCAAACTCATGACCTTACACTTGCCAGGCAGGCGCTTGTGCCACTGAGCTAAATCCCCAGTCTCCTCTTTACTATTTCTTTGTAATGTTTACTTCTTATGTTTTTAACACAAATAAGAGGACATTTAAAAAGTCACCTTGCACAGGGTTAATTTATGAAAGGTTTACCTGCATGAAGTAACTGATAAAGCAAATAATGCCCAAAATGACAAATATCATAGAATAAATTTCTGCATCATGTTTTAATGTGGGTTTATTATCATCTTCAAACATCTGAAGAGGAACAGATATTTTTCATCAGTGATTTGGAGGAAAATATAGAAGAAAGATAAAATAATTAAAATATATACATAAGGATTTTCTAAATGAATTAAAACATAAAATGACTGTTTCTGGAGAATGTCTGCATTTAGTACATACAAGAATAAGTTAAATGTCTTCCATTTATTACATAGCATCAGAAAAATGAGTTCTCTGCTATTATCACGGTACATTTTGTTAAATCACTAGCTTGAATTGTTTCTAATAAATTTTAATGACTCATATGTGTAAAGGTTCATCTCTTTAGAATACTACCTGCAATGTACCCCTAGGATTCATTCACTAGGGACTGAACTGACAACCTCGTACTTACCAGGCAAGCACTTGAGCTGCTGAGCTAAATCTCCAGCCCTAGAATTCCTTCTGACAGTAATTATACATAGATTGCCACTTATTTTGGTGACTATGCAAAGCAGAGATACTGAAGATTAAAAAAGATCCAAGAAGACCCTTGAATCAACCAACTTGTTGAGGTCTTTGGTTCACTCTCAAACTCCTGGCTCATGATAAAAAGTTGCCACTGTCCAACTAATTGAAAGTAGAGTAGCTATTTGTCTCTTTTGTTGCTTCAGTGATTTCGAATGCTGATACAACATTGGCATCAAAATTAGAAAAAAAGCAAATTTTTTTATTGTTTGCCCAGTCGACTAGACCTAGTCAAACATAACACAATAGATATGGTTCATCTCCCAGGAACATTAATTGACCTTTCTACCATGGACCTCACCTGAGGTGTCACCCACTGACAGTCCCACTGTTCCTTTTGTGATTAGTGTGTAACAAGTCATTTCCCTCACTTTAATTGTTCTGCATGTTAATAAATGGGTCTTACTCACAGTTATGATTTTTGCGAAGATGATGGAAAATACTGGATGAACACTTCCATTTAGAACAGAAGCCAGAGTCCCCAGAACCAAAAAAGGCCACTCCGACTTGTTTAATTTAAAAATTTTTAATAGAGAAACTTCAGGAAGACTTGTCTGTAAATAAAATATGTTGGTTTAAAATTCCACTTGCAGAGCATAATGGAACCTAGAAAAGCTAGCCAATCACAAATGAAAGTATAATGTAATATAGCAAATATAATAAATAGCAGAGTATAAGTTGTAATTTTCTTTAAAAAAACTCTCAGGGCCTGTTTTACTAATGATGACAAAGCCCAAAGGCATCTTACCCAAAAGTAGCTATTTGTATAATATGACTTTTTGTTAATTCACTCAGTATTATTAGGACAGTACAAATTAGTTCACATGTTCTAATAGCTAAAAATCACAGAAAAAGTGATAGATAGGCCTATTGTTCTATACTCTTCTTCTTTTTTTTTTTTTTTTTTGGTACTGGGGATTAAACTCATGACTGTGCGCTTGCAAGGCAGGTGCTTATGCCGCTGACCTAAATCCCCAGCCCATGATACTCTTCCAAAACTGAGTTCAGTCTCACACTCCAGCAAAGGACAAGGCCTGGATAGAAATTTCTCTGGGTAAGCAGAGAAAAGGCCGAAGATAAAATTTTTACTGGGATTTTTTTAAGCCTGAAAGTTTTCCAGTTTTATGATCTATTTACAAAATTATTTTCAAATGTTTTGGTTAAAAGTTTGCTTTGAGCTTCCTACTTACAAGTAGAATGCTGCAATATTTAAGCATACTACTTACTTTTGCCAAGTTTTAGCTTCTCTTCTTTGGGAGGCAATAGTGGGCTTAGGAAAGATATGAGGCAGCATGGAAGCTGAAGTCAATATCCAGGGATTCGGGTGAGGGATTCTGAGGTGTGTGAGGTTACAAATGAAAAGCTACACACGAGGGCCAGTCAAACCTGACTGGACCAGGGAGGAGGCTGGGCTCCAGGGATGGGGTAGATGGAAGAAGCATGGACAGGTAAGGTCATGATGGGATGCTGTCTGTGAGAGGGTGCTGTGTAGAACAGTCAGTGGGGCTGAGATGATGCACATGGGTGCTGGGCATGCTGAACTGGGTTAGAGAAATGAGACGAGGTCAGCCGGAGGCTGAAGAGAGCGCGGAAGGGTCCATGCTGCAGGAGGTGAAAGTCGGATGGCCTCAGGATGAGCTGGGGTTGGAGTGGGGAGGAGCAGCATGGGAACAGGCATTTCCCCTGGGTGACCAAGGCCACTCAGCTGTGCCCTGGGACAGGAGGCCTGCACTGCCCCTTCTGGGACTGATCCACACCCAGGGAGTGGGTGCATCTGTATCCTCATGTAATATCCACTAATCTTGGTGGCATCTGTGCCCCACTTCCCAGAACACTGTTTGACTCACAGTCTGCCTCATAGGAAAGAAAAGGCAATATATTCATGAGAGTTTCTGCCTCCAAGGACCTGGGACATAAATGCGGATTTTTAGATTGGCATTCTTCTTAGATTGTCACAGGGAGCTAGAGGAAGTTTGAAAAAGACATGTTTTGCGAACTTAGTGCTGCAATGAGATTTAATTGTAAGTTAATTCTAAATTTAATGATTAAATAAAAATTTGAGAACATGTGAGATGAACTTTTGCCAGTTGAGCCATTACCTCTTTATATGGGATGGATTCCTCAGACTTGTCTGTACTGTTTGACTTGACACTATTCACAGCACACACAGAAACTGGGCTGCTATTTGTTTCAGTAGACTGGGTCATCAGATCCATCTGTTCATCAGATTTTTTAATATCCTTAAATGAAGAATATATAGGTTTTCATTAGAATGATACCTTAAAAATTTTTAAAAATATATTAAGCATTCCTTTAAAACTACTTTTGTTGTTGAAAGTGGTATGTTCTCACATAGTTCTTGAACATTTTCAGACTTGATAGAGAGCTACTAATTCTAACTCATCCTAAAATGTTAGTGACTGACAATAGCTTTTTTTTAATCCTCTTTTCCAGAGATATAATTACTGGAGAAAGCCATTATACACTGAGAGGGGCGGATCTTAGTAAAAGGAACTATTTGAGACTGATGCTGTATGGTTTGGTCCTTTCTTCCTACCTTTCTTTGGAGATTACCAATTTATAAAGCTGGGAACTAATATGTGGCACTGGTCCTGTACCTGAGAGATCTCAGGAGACAGTGATGCTTTCCAGACCTGCCCATCCCGACTGTGAGCACCAACCACAGCTGAGGGCCTGAGTCTCAAAGGGTAAGAAATAAAAAGGCATCAGATTGACCCTAAAGGTACTGTTAAAATTGTAGGTTAGGATGAAGTTCTAAACCAAGACACTGTCCTCGCTGGCAAGCATGAGGTCGTGAATTTGATCCCCGGTAACAAAACAAAACAAAACAAAACAACCAAATTACTCTAGGTCTAGTTTTGCTTTTTTTGCGACTTAGAGAAATGCGGCCAATTTTAATAAAATAGCTGAGTGACATCTTCTCTGTTTATTTGAATGTGGTGCAGGAGATTTGAGCTTTGCGGCTCCTCGTGTTGAGAAGGGAGAAGAACAAAGAACACAGAAGCAGTTGAGGTGGTGGCAGCTCGGAGATGGTGCGGGTGGAGAGCGGTGGGTGGAGGACATTCCAGGACCTCCCCGAGCTTTGGCAGCTCAGCAGCTGTCAATCAGTTACACAACGGGACAATGAACTTTAATCAGTACTGTACTTTCATTAACATTTTTAATCAGACATTCTTTCACACTATCACTTTCTTTTCTATAAGTTCTTCCACCATGAAAGATCTTTTGCTTCGCTTCTTCTAGGAGTTACTTTGTGGAAAGCTTAATATAAAACTTTGGCCTCTTCTCATGATAATACTTTTAAATATAGGGCTTTGATAGGGCAAAGACTATTAATTTGCCTTAGAATTCTGCCAGCCAAAATAATAATGATGACAAGTTTTGGTATGTATGTATATCAATATGTTTTTTACTTCATTTTCACATGGACTCTAGGTAAGGAAAGTCTATAATTATGTAATTCCAGGTAATTACAATATTAATCTCCATGGTTTGAACTCTTCTGAAAAGTTTGAATGGATAATGTTAATGATAATAATGTAATAACATTTATTTTGCCAACAATAATCCTTAGCTCATTTAATATTCTACAATTAATTAATAGGTTACTATGACTTCCTCCATGTTAGAGATTACAAAATTGAAGCATCGAGAATTTAAATAGATGGTGGCTCACACTTTTCCATGTTTCCTAAATTGTAAATAATAATATAGGTATTAAAGAGGAAGTAAAATTTACAGAAAAAGTTTAAAATGATTTATCTGTAGAAATGCTTTGGTAAGAAGGCTGCCTTCCAGGTTAAAAAAAGAAAGCCGAATGAAGAGAATGGCTGGGGCCTAACCGTATCACTTATATTAATTTCCCCTAAGGGAGAAGTTATGCAGAATAGGAGGGTAGATTTCACGGCATGCGAAATGTGGATCCTAATGAATGGGGATTTGCCATCCATTCCCAACATCATCATGCCCTCTTTTGATTGGCCAGCATGACTATTTTCTAGTCCACCTGGGAGGATGTGATAGGCACAAGCATGGACCACTCCTCCTTCAGCAGATATTTACCAAGTGCCTATTTTGTGTTAGACACTGTACTAAGTACTTTCTACACATTATATTTCAGCCCTGCTTTCTCGTTTGAAGAACTTCCATGACCTGACTTTTACTATCTCTTTTCTATTGTTCTGCTAATATTCATCTTTATGCATGGAAGGTTGATCTTTCTGTTTTAGTTGCACATCAAGTTCCTTTTTGTCTCTGTGCTGTCCTCTCAGCTACTTGGAGTCCTCCTCCATCTCTCCCTTCTCTTGTGCCTTTCTAGTCTTCAAGAATTCTTTCATGAAACCTTCTTAAGCTCATACGGCTTTCTTTCTCTGATCAGTTTTGCTTATTTCTACAATTTGTAATACCTTTATGCACAATTTTGTATTTTGCCTCATAGCTAATTTTTAAGTATTTAAGCGTGCATATGTGTTATATTTCTTTGTGTTCTAATAATAAATAGCAATATAGAAAGTCTTGAAGGCTCACATCATTATCTGTAAAAGTGCTGAGGGTATTGTACACAATTTCATCACTAAAAAAGTTTAAGTAAATCTTGGTTGCTGTGAAATTTAAGATTATAATTAGGGACTTCTATTTTCTAGTGTAGTATTATCTCTGAAAATTTAAAAAGAAAACCTGTTGTTATGCTGTTATACTGTAAATATTACCTGTGTCATTGCCAGTGAATAATATAGACCTTGTTTTGCCATTAGCTCAGCATGTGTTCCTTTTTCCACCACTGTCCCATCCTTTATAGTCACAATCAGGTCTGCGTTTCGAATAGTGGAAAGTCGGTGAGCTACGACGATTGTAGTCCGACCTTTGCTTGCCTACAAGACAAAAAGTGTAAAAATAAACAAAAACTTAGTAGAAATAGCCTCTTATAACAGTCAAGAAAGCTTCTTTTTGCAGTTTTGTTTTAACATCAAAAAATCTTTCTTTGGATATAGAATTTGGAAACTAATAAATTAAAAAAGCCACTAAAAATTAGAATAAAAAGAAAGGATATAATTTGGTTACTTATTAGTCGTTTTATAAAACCATAGTATCTCAGAACTAGAAAGAAACCTAAAGACCATTTCTGACCTATCCAATAGCAGAAACTGAAAGTGAGTATGTAACTGTAATTCATTATTTCTCATCTCTAAGGTGGGGATATTCTTTAATTAATTGGGTACAGATTCAAGGTAATTATGCGTTTACCTTTTACAAATATTTTAAACACATGGAAAATTACCTATAATGTAGAGGAAGAGATCAACACATTTTCAAATGGAATACACCCAGACCACAGTAACCAAATCAGAAACATCAGGATCAGCACCCGGAAGTCATTCTCGTGCCCTCTTTCAGTTCAGTTCCCACTCACCCACCCCGATGATTCAGGGCTCTGCCCTAAAAGTAATGAGATGTGACTCCAGCCAAATTCCCTTTCACTGCTTTGAATTTGAAAGCAGTTTGTTACACCACATGACTAGCTAGCAAGCATATGAACAGCAGCCTAAGAAAACTAATGTATAAGAAGAAAGCCTACAGTGAATCTCACATAAAATGGTGAGTGTGACTATTATAGTATTACATGGTAATGAAATACAAAAGGTGAACAGTCTCATACAGAGTTTATAATTATTTTAAAGACAAGCCGAATGCCCAATATTTCATCATTTGTGCTTTCTGGAATCACAGTTCTTTGGTTTGAATCTTGTTTCTGCTTATTTATGGTTCTGTGATCTCATATAAGTTACTTAATTTCCCTAAATTTTAGTTTCTTCATTTATTATATGGGGAAAATTATGGTGCCTGTATTTTAGAGTTGTGCATAATTTTTTTCCTGTGGTAAAAGCACTTATGAGAACTACTGTTAACAACTTTGAGTGCATAATACAGTGTTGTTATAGATAGTACATAATACAGAGTTGTTATAGATAGTACATTGTGCAGCAGATCCCTAGAACTTGCTTTGCACAACTGAAGCTTCACACTCATTGAATTATTTATTTATACAAGAGCCATTGGAGCTACCCTAATAGATATGAAGAAATATCTCATTGTGGCCTTGATCTGCATTTCTTTGATAACTAGTGATGACTTACTGGTTATACTTATTGGTTGTTTATATACCTTCTCTGGAGAAATGTCATTTCAAGACTTTGTTTGAAAATTTTTTGATTTACTCTTGTTTTGAGATAGGGTCTTGCCATGTGGGTCAGACTGGCCTGGACTTTCTATGTGGCGCAGGCTGGCCTTGAACTCATGGTGATCCTCCTGCCTCAGTTTCCCAAGTGCCAGGATTATAGGAGTATGCCATCTATGATTATTAAAATGATGCTGCTAATTTTAATCATATTATTATTGTTATTATCATTATAACTGAGTTGTGTGTCCTTTATATTTTAGATTCCTCATCGTATATATGGTTTCCAAATATATTCTCTTACTATGTAAGTTGCCTGTTGATTGTTTTCTGTGCTATATAGAAGGTTTTTGTTTTATTTAGTTCTCCTCTTATTTTGCTTTTACTGCTTACATTTTTGAAATCATAATCAATAAATCACTGCCAAGCCCAATGTTATGAAGGTTTCCCCATTTTCTTTTAAGATTCTCATATCTTAGTATCATATCATAGTCTCATATCTTGCATTTAATTCTTTATTCCATTTTGAGTTGATTTTTTGTGTACAGTGAAAGATAAGGGTCCACTGCAATGTTTTTGCATATGGATATCTGATTTACCTATCACCATTTGTCAAATAAATTGTCCTTTCCCCACTGTGTAACCTTGGAACTCTCAATGCCCACATTAAGTGCAAGTGGAGTAAAAGCTTCTATTAGGTCAGAGATTATCAGGTTGGCTATAAAACCAAGACCCAACTATATAACATCTATAAAAATTAATTACACATGCAAAGAACAAATGGATCAGAAGGACAGAAAAATGCCACGCTAACACTAGGTAAGTGAAAGGTGGAATGCCTGTATTAGACAAAACTAAAGTAGATTGAACAGTAAAAAATACAACCAGAGTAGAGCAGTTTATTTCCTAGAAGGCAATACAATCATAAATGTCCATGTATCAGGGGCTGGGGATATAGCTCAGGGGCATAGAACCTGCATGGCAAGTGCAAAGTCTTGAGTTTGAGTCCTGATACCCAAAACAAACAAACAAACACACACAATAAAAAAGTCTATGTACCTAATAACAGAACTACAAAACACATGACATCAAAATAGAGACAACTGCAAGGACAAAATAGTTGGAGAATTCAATATTCTTCTCTCAGTAACTGACACAATAGACAATAGACAAGAAAAAGTTGAATAACAGTATCAATGAAAGTGACATAACTAATGTACATAGAACATGCCACTCAACAACAGCAAAATTCACAGTACTTTCATTTACCAAGACAGGCCATAACCTGTGTCATTAATTCAGCCTTAACATTTTGTTAATGTCTACAAAGTACATTCTCTGACTGTAATAGAATTAAAAGGCAAAACAGTGCAGAAAAATATGTGGAAGAACCTCAACTATTTTAAAGCAGAGCTTTTCAAGTAAGTGACTTCAAATTCAACCTAAAAATCAGAAGAGCAAGTTAAACTCAAAATTAGCAGAGAAAAGGAAGCTCGTTAAATATAAAGAGAAGAGTAAGTCAGAATACATCAAAACCAAATAGAGTTTAGCAATACACTGACACCTAATTTAGCAGGACAACTAACTAATTTTTACAAAATTATGAAGGCAAAGCGGTATAGAAAAAAAAACCTGTCATTTTAACAAAATGGTGCTGGATCTACTAAGAGCTGAAAAAAGCTCCAAACCACTGAATTTAACTCAGAGTTGATTATAAATATAAGCATAAAAATAAAAACCTAGAACTATAATAATTCTAGAAGAAAATATATGGAAAAGCTGTCATGACTTTGAATTTGGAAAAATCTTATTAACTAAGATTCTAAGAACTTGATTTTCAAAAGAAAAATTAATAACTTAAGAGTTATTCTTTGGAAGACACCTTACAGAATGGAGAGCCAAGCTCCAGAATGGGAGGAAATATTTTCCAATCATATATCTGATATATATATATATATACTTATGTCTAGAAATATAAAGAATATATAGCTGAGTACAGTGGTGCATGCCTGTAATCCTAGCTACTCAAGAGCCTTGGGCAGGAAGCAGGAAGATTACAAGTTTAAGGCCAGCCTGGGTGACGTAATAAGACCCTATCTTAAAAAAAAAAAGGTTTGGGGATAAAGCTTAGTTGTTGTGCACTCTTGGGTTTGATCCCAAGGGCCACTAAATAAATAAATAACTCAAAGAGTTCTATTTAAAAAAAACTTTATAAGAAAATGAGCAACTCATTTTAAAAATGGCCAAAATATGTGAATAGAAGATACTGTATACAGTTTTTCACTAAGCATATAAAAATGCCCATCATCATTAGCCATCAGGATTATGCAAATTAAAATCACAACAATAAACTACTATACATTTCTTCAGATGGCTAACACTAAAATGGTGGGTTATATCAAGTGTAGGAAAGTATGCAAAATTTATGAAACTCTTTTATATTGCTGGTACGAATGTAAGGCGAAATAGTCTTTCATTTAATTAAAAAAGTTAAAACATAAGCCTATCATAAGATCCAGTCATTCAAATTCTAGACATGTATGCAAGAAAGCAAAAGCATGTGTCCACATAAAGATTTGCATAGGAAAGTGCTTTTTGGGGCCGGGGTATATTGGAAATTGAACCCAGCTCTACCAGTGTGCTCTACTCTCATCCCCTACTTAGTATTTATGCTGCCAAGCATACACTGCGCCTTTATTTGTAACATTAAAAAAGTGAACACAAATCAACTCAGATGAACATCAGTATTAATTCATTAGAGCTGTGGTATATCCACATAACAGAATACTATTCACCAATAGAAAATAAATGAAAAGGAATTATTGTGCATTCTACAACGTGGACGAGTTTCACAACAGTTATACTTAATAAAAGTAGACAGAAAACAGAATGCATTCTTCTTGACTATAATTATATACAATTTTAGAAAATACAAACTAATCTATAGTGATAGTAAGGAAATCAGAGGTTGTCAAAGATCAAGGGAGGAGACTCCAGAGGGTCCAGATGGAATAGTTACAAAACACATCTGAAAAGTCTGATGGACTATTTTGATTGTGGTGATTTCACAAACGTGTGACACCACTGCAAGTGTATATGTATGCCTAAACTCTCCTAATTGTGTAATTTAATATGTACAGTTTACTGCATGTCAATTAAACCTCACAAAAAGCTGTTAAGATGAACAATGAAACAAAGGTAGCACATGTATATAGCACCCTGGTTGGGCATTCCTGCTGTTCTACAGAAACCCTGAATGGGAGTGAGGCCTTTTAGTGAATGCCCTGCAAACATAATGACAAAGTTGATTGGGGGCAACTGTGATGTAGGGTTATAAATAGGAAGATTTCTTTTTCTTAGCTTCACCAAGGCCTGATGATGAACACACAGTAATTTTCTTAATTGGCACTTATCATTAGGATGTGCAAGCCTCTATGGGTAATTTTTATGTGTAACAAACTCTGGGGTTGAATAGAATTATAGTAAACACTAAAATGTTTACTGTATCTTTCACTTGTGATATTGCCAAACATATCGGAATTTTATTAAAATAATGAATGCATGAATGGTATTTGTGCAAAAGGGCTTTAATGTTTACTATTCATTTTTCTTAGTCTGTCATTTGGTCTTATGTGATAATTCTAAGCCTTGCTTGTACAGAAGCATCTTTATGAATGATCTAACAAAATTGGTGAAAATGTGACAAGATTTTTAAAGTGTTTTAGAATAGGTTTATGTTTGCAGAAAAGTTGCAAAAATAGACTTTCCATGTACCATACACAAACACCATCCTCCAGTACCAATATATCACACCCGATGGTGCCTTTACAGAAGTAATCAATACTAGTACATTATTATTGTCTAAACTCCATACTAGATTCGAGTTTCTCTAATTTTTACCTAGAATTCATTTGATGTTCCACTATCCCCTTATGAATACTGGATTTATAGCCAGACGTGGGCACAAACCTATAATCCCAGCACTTGGCAGGCTGAGGCAAGAGGATCACTGTGAGTTTGAGACCAGCCTGGGCTACAAAGTGAGTTCAAGACCACTGAACTATATAGTGAAAACCTGTCTCAAAAAGACAAAACAAAACAAAACGACAACAAAAACCCAAACAAACAAAGAATACTGCATTTATTCTTTAAGTCTCCTTAAGCTTCTCTTGGCTATGACTGTTTCTCAGCTAGTCCTTGTTTGTGATAAATTGGATGGTTTTGAAGAATACCAGTCAGATGTTTTGCAGAATGTCTCAGCTGACATTGTTTTATGGGCCTTCTTTGTGGACATGAGACTCAAATTTCTACACTGAGCTCAAATTTCTTCTCTGAACTTCGCATTTGAATCTGTTTTGGATCTCGGGCACCCTGGGACTTGCCTACAGCCCTTTGAAAGAATGCAAGAATGTGGCTCTGCAGCAGATGTGCCCGAGAGGTGAGCACGGTGAGCACGGTGAAGGCAAAAACACTCAGTGCCTCGGCTACCAGCCTGCACCTCTCCTATTTGCCCAGTTACCTTTCCGCAAGGTTATAAATATTGTTATAAGCATTATTTTCTAAAATCAATCAGGTCACTTACTGATGAAACTATCCGATATTACCAATAAGCTCAAATATTTTACACTATTATCTGATATTTATTTCTCAAATTAATGTGCATGAAATTTAATTTAAACTATAAAGGGGAATATACATCACATTGTACTCTAAGGAGAATGTGGGCAGAGAGAAAGTAAAACGAAACTTCAGGCATTTACAACTAGAAAGGGGCTGAAAATTGTGTTTGTGTGCATTTGTTCACAGAATCACAGCATCCAGATAGCAGGGTTTCCTGCTTAGGTTCATGCTATTGTAGACTTCTCTTCCTCACATGTCTGTTCTCTTTCTGTACCCCTGTCTCTGTCTCTCTTAGACATCAAATACGGAGCAAAATTACTTATGCTGCAAAACCTCAGGCTGAGTCTGACACCTCAGCACCAGGGGTAGGGGACAACATTTCAGCAGCTGCAACTTGACATTGTTAGGGCTTCAGGAGGTTGGAACATCTGCTCTCACCCATCTGTATCATCTTTACTCTGCCAGCCTCCTGGTCTAAACCATAAATGTTTGATTAAAGTACATGTTATACTGTATTTAATTACCATAGCATAAACCAACATTTGACTACATCAAATAAATCACAGACATATTTAATAATTTGAAAGTGGCAAAACTGAGCTTCAAAGGTTTATGAAGTGGGCCTAAAGTTTTGTATGGACTCAAGGTATCAGAAAAATGCATTTGCACTGGATCATAGACGTGATCCACTAGCCACAGTGAACTACAAGAATTCAGACTTAAAACATGGAAGAAATTTTGTTAGGCCAGATTTCTTAAAAATACAGATCAAGAAATTTGAGCTGAAGCTTTGTTTTTATTCAGAACTACTGAAGAGGTAAATGAGGTAATGCAACTTACCTTACTGTTTACCCAGATACTTCAAAGTAGGTGAGCAGTCCTTCTTAGCTGTTACTATTTCACATAGAAAGTATATTTTTTGCAACATTTCCTAGTATCTCCTCTCTTGTATTATAGATTATACAAACCAAACAATTAAATTTTTAACTAAACAAGGTCAATAGGAAGAGAGGTCTTTACTCAACACTGGGCTGATATTGATCAGATTTCTTCACAGTTCCACATACAGACGTACTCCACCAGGTGAATAGCTTAGACTTTGTCATAGAGGGCACCTCATAGAATTGCTAGGCAGAAAAGCCTTAGGAGACCAGCTAGTTTCTCACCAGTAGTGGTCATGGGCCTTGGATAAAGGTGGGGTCATGAAAAGGAAGGAGAATAACACAAAGCCTCATGTATCTGAGAGGGCCAGCATTTGCCTCTGATGAATGAGCAGGGCTAATACATGCTTTCAAGAACCCTGGAAACACAGAGTTCTAGTGTCCTGGTGGCACATGTGGTGTGAGAAAGCTATGCAAACCTACTCATGGCCTCTGGGAAGCTTGTGGCAGTTGGAATGGGGCCTGTGGGTGACATATGCTCTATAAATACTGTATGCCTTGACAGTTTTCTTTTTAAGCTACAATTTATTAAAAAAATTTTAAAACAGCATCTAATGGGAAGATTTTAAAAAAGAAAACCCATGCAAATGGCTTATGGCTTTATCTGAGCTGGCAGGTGGTTGGGTCAGCCCTGCCGGTCTCCCGTTTCCCATCTTCCCCTCCAGAAGTCTTGGAACCCCTGACACCTTGTGTTCCAAGAATACTGTGTGAAAATGTTTTACTGTCCTTTTACAATTTCCTCCCTTTAAGCTTATTAAATTTTAACTGAGCATCTCCTGTAAGAAGGTCATGATACAGTTTAAAGGGGAGCTCAGGCTTTTTGGTTCCTCAGTTTCTTCATTATGATGTTGAAACCAACTGGGTTAGTTAGTGTTCTGGGTCAATCAGACAGCGTTTCGTGGCTCGCTAATATGGGATTACTGTCAAGCCACTGACCTATATAAAGATGTTTTCTTTTATGTCAAAAGGGATGACAAATGGCAAAATATCAGCACTGAGAAGTCATAATTAGTGATTCAGTTTTTTCTTGGGGTTTACTTTCAACTTGCAGGACCTACTCATGTAGAGATATGTAGGCGTAGGTTGAGACGTCTTGGAAAGGCAAATGTTCAAAAGCTAAACTTTGCCGAAATGAGCTCATGTGTGCTAACTGCTTATGATCATGGAATAATTTTCGATAAAATATTTTCTTTTTATAGCCTGGTGGTGGTCCGTTTACCATGGGGAGGTGGAAAGTAAACATCTGTAGGAAGCACATTTATTAGTTCATCACATTGCCCAGTAACTGTTAATTTTAAAAGTCTGAACCTGTTTTGATTCCTTAAAAGTGATTAACATATTGAAATAAAAGACAATGGTCACAGCATTTAACCTCTAAACAGCACAGTGCCTAGCACATCTAAAAAAATATCATATTGCTTAAGAGACAGATATAAATAAAGTGAAATCATTTTTAGCATATTAAGCCCTAAGTAAGCAGACATCACCACTATGAAAAACAATTGGTTGAGTTTGTTCTTAATCCTAGTTACTAAGTACAGATAAATGAATAAAACATGAGCCCTACCCATGTTTCTTCTCCAACAGGATGAACCCCACTGGCAGTGTTCACAATAAATAAGAATTTCCATATCATACCGGCATATTTGCATGTGCATGAGTATATATATATATATATATATATATATATATATATATGGCACTCTGATCATGGGAGGGAAACAAGGGCAGAGCCATATACAATCTGATTTGTGAGTAAATAATAGTAACTAATAGATTTTTCAATAAGCAGTGGGCACTCTGGCTGCCAGTGTCTGTTTCTGGTTCCATAAAGTCAGCATTGAAAGAGAAGCCTGTAATTTTGTTACAGAGAAAAACACTTAGTCATTTCCATGCAAATGCAAAGTAAAATGTGCCATTAGTCTTTTAAAGGATCTCAAGGCCATGATTTAAAAGAGTATTTGCCGTTCAGAGCTGTATTTAAGGGTTTTTCATCTGCCCTCCCAGATGCATGCAATTCCGTGCACTCAGAGGTCAGTGTGGGGTTGGAGGTGCCCGGGACTGTTGGAGGAGAGTGGCTCAGGATCTGTGCTGCTCCACTTGAGGTGTAATTGTGTCACCATGAATCTCCTGGGGCTACCCTAGAGATGGAGAGTGGTTGGAGAAGAGAATCCCTTTGGTGTATACAGAAACAGCAGAAGGATGCCCATGACTGTATTTGGGTTACTTATGGGGCGGGCGAAAGTACAGACCTGTTGAAATGGAGGCATATCTGGATGACTGTTTGCATATTGGCTGTGTGTGTGTGTGTGTGTGTGTGTGTGTGTGCGCACCTTCAAATCACACTTTGTGTCCACAATTTGAAGACATCTCTGAATTTAGTAATATGCGATAGAACTAGTCTCTCTTTCTTTTTCTGTTTGAGATAGGGTCTCACTATGTAGTGCATGCTAATCTTGAGCTCACTTTGTAGCCCAGGCAGCTCTCGAATTTGCAAGGATCCTCCTGTGTCAGCCTCCAAGTCCTGGGATTACAGGTGTGTAACACCATGCCTGGTTGAATTGTACTTTCTTGTACTTAAAAACAATACTGAATCAGGTCTATGGAAATAAATGCTTCTGTTCACTTACCTTCTCCAGTGCAGCTTGAACAACTGATTCGCTTTCTGTATCAAGGGCAGATGTAGCCTCATCTAAGATCAGGATTTTAGGGTTTCGAACTAAAGCTCGAGCAATTGCAATTCTCTGTTTCTGCCCTCCGCTCATTTGAGCTCCTTTTTCTCCTACTAGGGTGTTAAATTTCTAATAAAATATAATGAGAAAAAAAGCAAGAAAGAGAAAGGAGTGTGATTAAATGATTTGAACAGGAAATGACAAAGTTGTGTTTTAGTACCGTATTAGTCATTATTTTAGCCAGGCTGCTTATGACCTTTGATTTGTTTTTTGTAAAACAATGATAAAAAAAGGCTCTAGTTAACAAGGTAAGGATTTGGTTAGAAATAAGACAAATTACACCAGGTGGCAAACAAGATTTTCTTTTTCTTTTCCTATTTTTTTAGACAGTCTAGCTAGGTAGTTCAGGCTGGCCTTGAACTCACTATGTAGCCCAGACTGGCCTTGAACTTGCCTCAGCCTCCTGAGTGCTGGGATTACAAGCGTGCATCACCACACCCAACAAGAATTGCTAATTGGAATTTATTTTCAAATTTATTTTGTACATTCTAGAATGCTTCGAGAACACTGATCCCATCATTCCTGCCACATCTGAAGCGGTTCTGGAGCCCTCTTTTGTATCTGTAGCTGTTCTGTTGTGACTACATCAATGTCCTGAATGGAGTGAAAATGTTTATCTTAATGATCGTCTTGATTCTGGGGAAGAGCTAGAAGTCATATGGTGCCAGGTCTCGTGAATAAGGTCGATGATTTTATTTACCAGAAATTGTCATCAGTGTTTGACCAATCAGGTGTGATCAAAAGATATGGTCAATGTTTAAATTAAAAAGGTTGTTACAGCGAAAGGCAAATTACCATTAATCCCCCTCAAAATACTCCCTGTGACTTTGAACACACATATTTCATCATTCTTGGTATTGTCTTTTATTGTAATTAGTTTTTTAAAAAAATTAAATATTCACTGCATTTTTAGACCATCTGTTGTATTCTTTCTAAGCTTAATTACTAGAGGCTGATTTTTATATTTTTTAAAATAACAACCTTATCATAAGCATAATTTACACATAATGCACTCATTTTAAGGATACAGTTCTATGAGTTTTGACCAATGAGTACACTTGTGTTACTACAATAAAGATACAGAACATTACTTTCATCTAGAAAGTTTTGTGATGCCTTTTCTCAGCCAAACTCAAACCCACCACAGGATACTTATGATTTTATTTTATTTATTTTTTTACTGTAAGTTCATTTTGCTGGTTTTAGAGCTACACAGAGATGGAATCTACAATTTGCAATTTTTGGGGCTGTCCTCTTTTGCCTAGTACAATGTTTTTGAGATTCATCCATGGTCTATCCACAGTTTACACCCATTTATTATTCAGTAGTATTCCCTGCAATGTGAATTAACCTGGGATGGTTAGATTGAGTAAAACCAAATCAAACACACGAAAATTTCACTTAGTTCACTTTAATTTGAATTTTAGAAAAGCAATTTTAAAAGTATGTTTCACGTGATATTTGGGACATATTTAGGCTAAGAAAATTCATTGTTTTTCTGAAATTTATATTTCATCGGGAATACTATATTTCATCTTGCAGGAATTTGTTCATCTCTATTCAGCTGCTTATTTTCAGTTTTTGAACATAAGAAATAAAGTTACTATAAAGAGTCATGAAAGACATTTTGTAGTCCTGTCTTCATGTTTAAAAAATATTTAGAATGCTGAATCATAGTTACTTGTTAAACATAATATATAGCCAAGTTGCTTTTTAATTACTGATTATACTTTTATGAGAATGAGTGAGAGGGGCTGGGGATTTAGCTCAGTGGCATAAGTGCTTGCCTTGCAAGGGTGCAGTTGTGGGTTCGATCCCTGGTACCGATTTAAAAAAAAAAAAAGAATGAGTGAGACATATATTTGTTTATATCTTAGTTTTGTTAGTTTGTTTTTTAAAATTCTGGCTATTCTACTAAATGTCAGAGGATAGACTTGTATCTCAATTGTGTTTACTGTGGATTTTTCAATTATTACTATGACTAATAATGTTGAATATGTTTCGTTTATATTGTTCATTTGATCTCCTTTTGTGAAATGTTTGTTCAGGATTTGCCTATTTTAATTTTTTGCCTTATTAATGAGTTGTAATAGTTTTTATGTATCCTGCATTCCCGTTCTTGTCAAATATACAAACTATTAATATTTTCTTCCATTTTGGTCTTGTCTTTTTATATTCCAAATGGCATCTTTTTAAAAGGGGTTTTAAGTCCATTTATTATTTTTTTAATGTTCTTTTGTTTAAGAATTCTTTGCCTGCCTCAAATTTACAAAGTTTTTTTTTTTGTTCTAAGTTTCTATTTTGAAGTTTAGGCTTTAACATTATGGTCTAAGATCTATGGCAAATCAATATTTTTTTATGATAGTGTGATGAAAGGGTCACTTTTCATTTATTTCATATATATATATATATATAAATATATATATATATATATATAAAACTATATATATTTGTTCCAACAATATTTGTTTAGAAAGTCTCTCCTTTTCCTATTGAATCCTGCTTACCTTGTCAAGATTAGTTGATTAGGCATGTGTGGGATTATTTCCAGACTGTTGTACTGATCTATAGTTTCATTTTTATGCTGCTATTAGTGTTTTAAAATTAGACATTGCAGGTCCTCTAGCTTTGTTTTTATTTCAAAATTGTTTGATCTTTATTTAGCCTTTGAATTTCTAGGTAAATTATGAAATCAGGATATGTCAATTTCTTTTTTTTTTTTTGTCTTTTTCCTTTTTATCGGTACCAGGGATCGAACTCACGACTGCCTGCTTGCAAGGCAGGCACTTATGCCGCTGAGCTAAATCTCCAGCCCCGGATATGTCAATTTCTACACATGCAAAATAAGACTGATAGAATTCTTTTTTTTTTTTGGTACTGGGGATTGAACTCACAACCTTGAGCCTGTGCCGCTGAGCTAAATCCCCAGCCCAAACTTAAGAGCCTTTTTTTTTTTTATGTGTACCCCAGATGGAATTCATGACTGAACACTTGCAAGGCAGGCACTTATACCACTGAGCTAAATCCTCAGCCCTGACTGATGGAATTTTGATTGGTAATAGAGCAGATTTACAGATTTACTTGAGAGTGCATATCTTTAAACATGTTGGATCCGTAAGTCAATAAGCTATACTGTTTGTAAATCTTCTTTCATTTTATTCAGCAATGTTGTATCATTTTTATATAGCATATTTAGAAATCCCTTATTAAGTCTTAAGTACTTTGTTGTTTGATGCTATTGCAAATGCTACTTTTTATTTTAATTTTACTTGTTGCATTGTTGCTGCTTAGAGGTCCAGTCACATTTTTAATAGTTTTAGGATCATTAAAGTTATATTTCCCTGTTTTGCCTGTTTGGCAGCTTGCGCCTCTCCAGGAATTGACCCTTTTCTAAATTATTAGATTTATAGGCAAAACATTATTTATAGCATTCTCTTATTAAGGCTTTAATGTCTTTAGATCGCTACACATACACCTTTCATTTCTGATATTGGTCATTTCTCTCTCCCTCGTTTTTCTATCCAGTCTTGCTGCAGCCTAGAAGTCACCTCTTATTTTCAATGCTTACATTAACTTCTGCTTTAATTTCTCTTGTTTCCTTTTGTCCTACTTGATTTGGCTTAATTTGTTTCTCTTTCTCTACTTTATTTAAATAGGAACTTATTTTGCAGATGATAAAATTTTTTTCTCCTCAAAATAACCATTTTTTAGTACAAACTTCTCTTAAACCAGTGTTTTCACTATATTCTATCAATAATGCTGTATTGCATTTTCATTTGATTCAAAATAATTTTTAATTTTCTTTGAGGCTTCCTCTTTGAACCACACTTTCTATAAATCTTTATTTAATTTTCAAATATATATTTTCCAGATCTATCTTTGTTATTGATTCCTAGTTTAAGTCTACTATGGTCAGAGAACATATTTTATATACTTTATATTCATGAAATTGCTCAGGTTTTGCTTTGTTTCATAGCCCAGAATATTGTTTATCTCTGTGAATGTTCCACATGCAGCTGAGAAGAATTTATGCTGCTGTTGCCGGAGAAAATATTCTATATATGTCAGTTATAATCAGTTGGTGGTGCTCAAGTCATTATATCCTTACTGATTTTCTGACTATATGCTTTAAATACCAAAGCCTTTAACTAAAATTGTGGATTTCTCTATTTCAGATATATTAATTTTGCCTTGTTTATTTTGAAACTTTTCTTAAGTGAATAAACACTTATGATCTTTCTTTCTTTTACTTATTTATTTTGGTATCGGGGATTGAACTCATGACCTTGCGCTTGCCAGGCAGGGGCTCATGCCACTGAACTAAATCCCTAGTCTTTTTTTTAAATTTATAATAAAAAAATTATGATATTTTTCCTCATGAGTCATCTTCCTGTTTTGTGAACGTCTTACCTTTGTAAATTATTTGCTGACTGCTGTGTGTATGTTGGCGAGACTCTGAATTCTGTTTTCTTCTGAGTAATTATGATTTTTGCTGCAGTTGGAAGTTCAAATACTGAATAATCATCATCTTGGTTGATACACACTCTTGGTTTTATACTGTTGGTAGGGAACCTTGTAATCCCCAAATTCTGTTTCCTCGCGGTCTTGTCATGGCCTGGTGTTAGGGCTGGTCTTACTCTAAGGCGGCTCTTGCCTCTAAGGGGTAGCGTATTTGGTATCTTAGTTTCATGTCTCAGGTATTAAAAAGGTGTAAACAGAGCCTCTCCATTCCAGCTGGATTGTACTTTCACATCTCATTTTTACTTCTTGCTTTGTGATTTTTGCTTTGATAAACCTTTGCAGTCTTATACCCAGACAAGGATTTCCAAGGAATTCCACCTGGAATTCTAACCTTATCTCAGTACCAAAGCATTTATCACCTTCCTAAACAGCCTTAAAATTTGATTTTTACCTGCCAGATCAATGAAACTGCCATATTCTGTTGGATTCCAATTCATACAAGTAAAGGCAGAAGTTTGTTCCTACAAGAATGCTGCAAATTCATGGAGTTCTTCTTCTTCTTCTTTTTTATCATGGTGTTTTTCTTACCAAACTTTGATTCGTTATCTCTTGACCAATGCTTAAAAATGATGGTTCTATACCTCATACTTTTTAGCTAGTTGTATGGTACATTATGCTTGAAAGGCTGACCAGTATCAGCAAACCTTAATACAGTAATTTTGAAATATATATGTATTTATATAGAGGTATTGCTACTCACCTTGAACATAAGTTTCCAGAAATTTTCACTTACCCGAATTAAGTATGTCTGGCAATCAAATTTTATTTTATTTTATCTTTTTATGGTACTGGGAATCAAACTTAGAGGCTTCTACATGCTAGGCAACTATTCTACCCCTGAGCCATATCCCAAGATCCTGGAAATAGCAATTATTTTTATACTTACTCTTCTATTTCTCTGTTTAACTATGTTTGTGAAATCTAGTTTTCATTGTGATAAGGCAGAATCTTTGTTCTTTGGATTATAGCTTTAAGTTTCACTATTAGATTTATAGAAAGGAGCATCTCTGTGGAGTAATGGCCATTTAGTACAACGAATCATAACTTTCAGGGCTTGATTTAAGAGATACCAGTAACTGCCTAATTCTAAGTAGGAAACTGGAGAGCACTTATTATTTATTCGGAGAAAAGGAAGTCACTGAACTAGGAAAAAGGACAACAAAAGAGAGTGTTTTCCCAAACTATAAAACAATAGTACCAAGCCCTGTAGGATTTTGGTGGCCTCAATACTATGCTGATTGTGATCCTAAATAATGGCACAGAAAGTAATTACTGGCATAATAAAATTTTATTTTTTAAAAAAGTTATTACTGACATGGTAGTGATTTGTAAAGTATCCCTGTGAAAATGATTTTTGTTACTGTCACCTTCTGCTTATTTTGAAATTTTATATGCATTCTATTTTATGTTTGTGCAATGTTTGGATGTAACTCACAGGCCTGGACCTGCTGAGCAAGTGCTTAACCACTGAGCTATTCCCCCAGCCACCACATATATTTTAATTTCAAATGTTGTTCTTTCATATTTCACAGTATATTCCCTGCAACAGGTTATACCAATGAACTAAAACTTAAGTGTAAATAAAAGCTTTCATAACTATCAATTCTAGCTATTTGTTGAGGTCTGATGTGTCCTATCATCAATCATTTTAATCATATCTCTTTACAAGTATTATTTCACATTTCTTATCCAATATTAATGCTATATGCTTCAAAAAGTTTTCCCTCTGTACTGTTAGAGAACCAAGCAACTTATCATGTATATGACATTCCCACTTTTAGCCACAAGATGGCCTCACAAGTTAACTTTTTGCAGTCATTTCTAAGGGATGGTGATTTTGTCTAGCATTTCTTCGATACAGTTTGATGTATTTTTCCTCCTTCTGTGTGTAGTGAAAACCAGTAACTAAACATGACTCTTTAAACCTTGTCCTTCGATGGTGCATTGCTTCTTTTGGTTGTTATTATGCTGTCCACCTGTGATGTTCATCTAGCATACTCATTGATCACACCACTTTTACAATTCAGCAGAAGTTACCGTTCCATTGCCGTGTTTTGGGATACTCTAAGCTAATAACACAAGCAAAGCACAAACTTACATTAGGAAACTTCATTATAAAGTCATAGGCATTTGCCTCTTTGGCCGCCTTCTCAATCTCTTCATCCGTCACCGCGTCTCGTCCGTACTTAATGTTGTTCCGGATGGTGGTACCGAACAGAACCGGCTCCTGGCAGACCACCCCGATGTGCTCTCGGTAGTGCCGCACGTTCAGGCCTCGGATGTCGATTCCGTCCACTGTGATCTGCCAACGCAAAACATGAAGCGTGTTACGATGCCTGCCAGTGTGTTGGTTCTAGTCTTTCTTCCTAGACTGAAATATAAGCTGAGAAATAGTATATGTCAGGAATTAAAGACTGACTGTATTTTGACAAAACATTCTTAATGTATATGTTATCAGGTCACTTTCTTATAGATGGGAAATCAAGAAGGAAACTTCAAAAGATGGACTTAAAATATTGCTAAACTTGGATACCTTTATTCTAAACTTCATGAATTAGGTAGTGGTAGGATACATACTCTAGGTAGTGCTAATGTTATTGTGGAAAGTCATGTAACAAACTCTGTCTTGTTGTTTTAAAAGTGATGTAACTTGTAAAGTTTTTTCTGAGAACCTTGTTTTTTTTTTTTTTTTTTTTTTACTTCAGCACTTCACTTGCTACAAAAAAACAAGTGTCACACCACTTGTCACTATAAATAATAATAAGTGAACTCTGTCTTCCCTGTATTTGGTGCCATTATTCCAATTTACTCCAATGATAGAAGCCCAGGTATGGTAATCATTACACCTCTATTTTCTTTGACCCTGGTGTTTTTTCTGGGAATGGGTATTCTACCTAACAGCTTAATACATGTTTTACTCATCTAGTAATTCTTTTTGTCAGCATTAGCACAGACTCTTTGATATGACAAGCTAAGAAATAAAACTTAAATGAAACAAGACTAAAAAAATAGATTAAAAATTAACACTGAAAGTTTGAACAGCAGCATTAAGAATTACGTACTTAAAAATGTCTTATTCTCTATGCCATTTACAAGAATGAGACAGTTAAGTGCAATATTATCTATTACAGGAAAAAAAGTGAGGATATTTTCTATATGCTGACAAATGTTGAATTTCTTGGTAAGCTTTGGGTACTACAAACTACTGCATTGTTTTTCTCCCACACATTCATTCACTTTAAACATACTGATTTTATAATTTACTTATTTTATTTGCTGTCTATCTCTACTTATTAGAATATAAACTCCATGAAGGCAGAGATTGTTAGGTTTTGTTCACCAAAAAATTCCTAGAACCTACAATAATGCTCGACATATCCATGTTTCTTGGAAAGTAATCTCTAGCTGGTTGTTACCATGGTGATAGCCAGTGTCCTGCAGTAGATTATACCTCACTATTCTTTTGCTCAGTAACTACTCTGTAATGGCAGATAAGGCAGGGATAGATTGATTGAGCCTGGCATTTTTGACCTCTAGTTCACAAGGCTGATCATTTTCCAGTTAGGTCTTATTTTTGGGGAAACCTGATTGGTAGGCACTAAATGAATATTTGTGAAATGGATGAATACATAGGAAAAAATGACATAGCTTCTCTCTTAGCCCTACTGTTAAAAATTAAAAGTCACCATCATTGTTAGTTCTCTGTAGGCGGCATTTCCAAATCCTGTGATGTAGACTATGCATAGTTTTTCTAGCAACCTGAACTTACAAAGCCTTCGTCAGGATCATACAATCTTTGCAGAAGCTGGACTGCGGTACTCTTCCCACTGCCGCTGGGGCCAACCAAGGCTACTGTCTCTCCAGACTTAATTTTGAGATTCAGACACTTCAGAATCTATCAGAATGCATGCAGGAAAAGCATCAAGTTAGGAAAAAGCCAGATTACACATACTTTCCAAACTTCAGCATATAATTAATTATAAGCAAAACAAATTCCTCTGTGACACTTAAAAGCAAATTAAGTTTTATATTTGTTCCTCGTGCATGTATAATGGTCCACATGACTTTGGAAAATAGTATTGGAAGGATGTATCATTTCTGTATGTAAAGAGGAGAACTAAATTGAGAGTACCCATAAAATATTAGTCACCGCAAATAGCTCACATTTTCAATTGAAGTACTTTAAATGAATTTCATGACTACCAAGTTAGTGAAGATTTTATCTTTTAATTTGCAACAACTGAATGACATCTTGTCTGATACCTTTTTGAGTTATTTGAGGAGTCTCTCACTTAAAAAACATTTAAAATTATTGCAAAGTGTATTCCAAAAAGCAATTAGCAAGACTCCTGAGCAATGCCCATGAACACCATGTCATCATCAGAAACCCTCCCTCTTCATGATCTCATGGGGACATTTCACCATGGTAGAAACATTTCAAAATTTTTCTCAAGGGCAAGGAATTGCTCTCCGTATTTAGTGTCTCTGGGGCCTGTGATGTGAGAACAGCCTCACAATTAGTACCCCACATGACACCTATCTTCGCTTGCAACCAATAGATTTTTAGCCCAGATAACAGGATTTTCCCCTTAGAATCTCCCATTTGATCTTATAATTTGTAAAGGAACAGATGCCTTCAATAAAGCAAGCACAAAACCATCAAAGGGCCAAGCAGAGAAAAATATTCTAGAGGTGAGAGGTGCAGATCACCACCCGAATGTTTCCTTCTGCAGGTACATTGACTCTTCAAGGGGCTTCTTTTTCATGCCTTAGAAGAATCTGTTTTATTTTCTGAAAGTGGGCAGGCACTTTAAAAAAGTTATTTTGTGAGCTTTACATAAAAGGCTTATGTTTCAAAAGTTCATTAAAAAAGCTGGTTAGGACTTGGAGAATACTCTCCAGGCAGTTTAACATCGCAATTGGTGCTTAGGTCTCCAGGAAGCCAAGTGAAATTTAGTTGCAAATTCTAGTTTGAAAAAGTCTGTGTTAAGAAAAAGGATAGAAGGCAACCTAAATCCATGCTTCTATTTAAGCAACAAAAACTTTCAGAAAAGCAAAGAGCTTTGAAATGAGAATTGCAATAGAAGTTTTAATGAGAAAAATAAGGGAGTAGGAGTAGGCAGATGATCTTCAATGCCGATTCTGTGTGAGAGAGGGAATACTGACGCAGTTTCATAAGAACTTGTCAAAGACTAAATGATGGAGGACAAACTCTGCAGTGTGTATAAATGTGCACATGTGCTTGTGTATGTGTGCTATTCACAAGTAAGGTTGAGAGAGAAGGTACATGAAGCACAGCTGCTAATGTAGTAAAAAGCTCCAGGGAACAGCAAAGACAGCACCTGCATGATCATGCCCCAGATTAAAAACTACCAGATCAAAATGAGTTATCTAGCTGGGTGTGGTAGCGCACACCTGTAAATCCCAGCTACTTAGGAGGCACATCTGAGCCCAGCCTGGACAACTAAAGTGAGACACTGTTTCAAACTAAAATACAAAAGAAGCTGGGGATATATAGCTCAGGGGTAGAGTAGGATGACATTCATGAATCACCAATAGGTGGCACCATAAATCCAAGGTATTTCACTTGCAAATACACAGTGGAGAAATTCCAGGGAGTTGAAAATGTTTTTGTCAGTCAATTTAAACAAGAGAGGCCACACATATAAATGTTTTTTGCAGCATATTTGTCCATTAATTACTTACCTGTCCTACTGTCTACCAAAGTCTTTACTATCTACTAAAGTCCCTAAGCAAAGTAGCCAACATTTTTGTAAAAATCATCCTATATAATCTCATAAAGCAAGTAGAAGACATTATCAGAAAACTGTACAGTGCTACTTAGTTTAACCTACCTTGGTAGATGCACGTGCTGGATAATTGAAGGAGACATTTTTAAATTCCACAGTTCCTTCTATGCACTCAGGTTTATATCCAGTTGTGGAAAAGTTATCTATACTAGGTTTCTTAGAAAAACAAAGAGAAATTTAAATCTTCAAAGAACTAAGCCGACATTCCCAGTATCCTAAAAATAGTTTCAAGAAGGTTTTATTTTACGTTTTCCTTTCACTTTAGAAGTGTGTTAAATGAGGCATGAAGCTTTCAATAAAACACAGTCTCCTCTGTGAGAGCTAAAAGCAGTATGCTTTCCGTAGCCATCTGGCCAACACAGATTTTGCGCATCTTATTGTGGTGAATGTATGTGTCTGTTTGATGGTCTCTTTCTTCAGTAATATTCAGCAATAAGAGGTCTTACCTTGTCAATAACCTGGAAAATATTAAAGGCAGCTCCTCGGGCGACAGAGAAGGTTTCAAAGTGAGGGGCTGCTGCTCCAATGGAATAACTACTGTGGATGACACTAAAGAAAACCTACAGGAACAGAGAAAAACCATACTTAGTCTTCTGCAGTTATATATGAAAGACAGCAGGAGGAAATATGTACAGTATTTGATTTGGGTTCATAAAGAGGTAAGAAAGAGTGGAAAAGGTGACTGAATATAAAGAAAAGCAAACTAGTCCAAGTTTCCTTGGCCTTTTCCCAGGGTGGAACAACTTGTGATTGTCCCAAGGCTGTGGTTATGACCTGCTGGGGCACCTGAGCAGGGAAAGGCGCTGACCACAGAGTGCCTGACCCGTGGGTCGGGAGCTGATTGTGCTCCCCATGTGCACTCTGTCCTTGCTGGCCGCCTCTGAGCTTTAATAAGAAGACTGTGATAGATGTCACTTGCTCAGAGACATATTTCTACTCTGAGTTTTAGAATCTTTTTATCAACTCACTGCACATCTGTCCATTTTCAGACAAACTCATCTCTAAAACATAGTCATAAAAAGAAAGAATTCTGCAGGCTAGATGCTGTTTTTCCTGTTATACAGGTGAGGGATCTAGAGGAGAAAGGCTTAACCAAGATTTCCTCATCTATTCATTTCACATGAAATAAGTGAAGAATTTTAAGTCTTTACTGTGAAACTCTCAAATTCAAAAGAGACTTTTAACTAACAGAAGAGGAATCTGTACAATGGGAAGGCCAAATGATATGTGTAGAGCATATGTATGTTCACCATGACAAATATTTTAACATTCTAAATTGATCTATTTATCACTGAAATTTGGGAAGATGACTGGGTATATTAAAGTTTAGCATGTGTTCCGTAAGAATTTAAAAGACTTGGGGTCACAATGTTGGATGTAGTTTGTTTTTACTGTTTCATGGTCTCTTTCTTCAGTATGAGCTGTATGTAGTTCGTTATTACTGTTTTTACTGTTTGCTGAAAAAACAGAGGAAGAGCTGGTGAATCCAATGTACAGGTTATTTCACATTTAACAAGGTGGACGTAGGGCACCATCCTATCTTAGCAAATCGGAAAGGGAATCACTAGCAACTGGCCTTTCTGACTGCTGAATTACGAATGTTATCTCCTAGTGGAAAATTTAATTTTGACTCTTCTAAAAGCATGTTGCTTGGCACAGGGAGGATGCAACATGTACCAGATGAATAAATCCTGTCAATTCATAATTATAATTTAAAAAGATATGTAAATCATATGAAGGAAATGCATAGGTGTTCATTTAAAACATTATCCTCTTATTCCTCTACATTCAAAATGGAATTTTTCCTAAGTTCCAGGTAAGAAAAGATTATTAGGCCACTTTCCTTTATTCTCAAATAAGACTTACAGCAAGAACAGTCCCAATGGTATAACCAGGTTCTCCACTAAGAATCAAGGAGGTTCCATACCAAAAAGCAAGTCCATAGGTTCCATTCATAAAGAAGTACACAGCACCAAGAAACACTTTTGACGCAATAGCCTTCTTTATGCCAACATCCTTTGCATCTTTTAGATTCTGTGTGTACCTTACAAAGACAAAACACAGTGTACTCTCCTTTGGGGAAAACAAAGCCAAGCACATTTGGTAATAATTAATGAGACAGACCTTTGAATTTCTTTCTCCTGTGCCCCAAAGGCTATGACTGTTCGAATTGATGACAAGACTTCTTCTGCTACAGCCCCAGCTTTGGAATAGGCACTCAGTTCCTTGCTGGTTAATGAGATGACCATCTATAAGAAATCATGATCACAGGTTAACCAAGAGTGAGTGTGAGCTAGTAACAATGTACACAGTATTTAGTTCACAGAATCAGAGGACTAGGTAGTATAACATTACTTAGAATCCAGATCCCTAGTTTTTTCCTAATCACTGTTTTTTCTCTATATTTTAAAAAATTCTTTTAGATGGGTTGGGAAAAAACTTGACTTGGAGGAAGATATTAAGGGCATTATCCTTTTGGGGGGTACTTTGGTAATCAGTGAGCTTGAGCTGATTTGTTATTATATACAAAGCAAGTCTTCTAGAGGACATATGAGTCATGGGACTGAAGAGGAAGAGGAACATGATCCTGCCCGGGTTTGGGATATGATCTTGAAACTACTATTGCATAACGCATTCTGCCAAATAAGTATTTTACCTTTGAAAACCAAGAGATGAGATTTGGGGCCAAAGGAAAGAGTGTCATTGTTAATGATAGTAGGCAGGTTTTTCTGAGTCTTCAAAATTCAGAATTACATATACTCTTTTCTCTATTATATGACCCACTTCCTAATCCTTTATTACTTTAGTAATTAGAACAGTACATCAAGGAAAGAAAAGAGCAAGAACATTTCCTTCAGAGCTGAGAGGTTATAATATTGCAGACTTATATAGAAAATCTATCTATTTTCAAAATATATTCCATGTAATTGGAATTGATTTCCTGAATGTCATACTCAGATGCCAGTAAAGTTAAAATGAGTAATACTCATTATTTTTTGAGTATACTTCATGAAAACAATTACTCCTGTGTCACTGGTAGGAAGATACCAACTCATGCAAGCTTTGTACAAATATAGACAATATTTATCAAATTCAGATGAACTGAAGGAAGCTAGAAACTATGCACCATAGTATCTCTAATCATTTGAAGAACTTTGAACTGACAACCTACATTCTTTTCAGTTCGTATAGTAATAGAACTTAGATTTCCCCCTGCCATTCCTTTACAACTCTTTGTCCATTCCCTTTCTTGTGTGACTCTGACCATAGTGACACTCTGGGTACCCAACCTACCTGAGAAGTACTTATTTCAGATAAGTTGAAAGTGAAGACTTGGACAGGGTTACAAGACCAACACTGGAAATCACAATGAATGTATTATTTGTCTAAATATCCAAACCTATTAATGAATTAGTTAACCCAGAATATTTCTATTGTTGTAAATTATTGTTTGGTGGGATTTGCATATTGGTAGTAAATATGCTTAGGAGATTTTATGAATTTGTTTTACAAAAAGAACAATTAGTATCACAAAACTAAAAACACTGGGCCTTCAATCTAGGAGTAGACACACAGGCCAAACACTTGATTTAAAAGAGGGATATTAAGGATATGTTGGTTGTTTTTGTATTTTACAAAGAATATTAGTTTCAAAACCAATCTGTAAGAAAGATTAGTATACCTTGTATATTTAGTATACCATCTATATTTATAGTATAGTACTGCTAAAATGCAGTTTAGAATTCAAATAATTTAAAAAAACAGAGCCACATTTACGTGGTACATTAAAGTAGACCTTAATATACATTTTAAGTATTATTCAAAGCTTTATAAAATGTAAACTTAAAAACGATATTAAAAAGGCTTTGAGTTCTTACAGGATTTTCTTCTTTAATTCTTCCAAGTGAAATGAATTTATCTGGGGATTTAGAGCACACAGCTTCTCCCAGTAGCAACACCTATGCTTTGTATTTGTAAAGTCATCAGACTTTGTGTTATCACATGAAGCTGTATTAGGCTGAGAAATGAAGAGGAATGTTTTCAGATGTTAGGTGTTAAAAACAAGTCTCATTCAAAGCCCATAAATTTAAAGACAGAAAGGTGATTCATGAACAAAATCAGAAGTATTTGTGGTTGATAGTATCCTTTTGTATTTTGGAACATGGAAAATTAATAGAAATATCTGTTTTGACAAACTCAGTAAGACACTGAGTTCACACTTCTGCTTCCAGCCAACATTATTATCCATCCTGCTTACCCTGGAACACATTGCTGCTGAAGCCATTATAAGAGGAGATGTGGACAGAGTTACCAGAGTGAGTTTCCAGCCCTTCACAAAGCCAATTGTGAGGCCGATAGAAAAAGTAGCTATGTTTTGAAATAATAGAGCAATCTTGTCTCCAATTCCCTCGCGGATTTTGTTGATGTCACTGTAACAAGGAAATACATTCAGATAAGTCACAAGGGTCAGCCATGAAAACAAAGTTGATATACTGTGTATTTATCTTCTTACTCAGTCATGCGAGTGTTAAGTTCACCGATGTCACAGCCATCAAACCAGCTGATGTCTTGCGCTAAAACTGAATGAAAAAACTGTTTACGAATTCTCTTGGTCTGTCGTGCTGCACTCATAACCCAAAAGGAAATCTGCATGTAGCCAAAAATCAAGGCTGTAACTCCTATTCCAACATAATACAGGGTCAACCTGAAGAAAGATTATTGGAAATGTTAGAAGGTTGCTACTTAATAATAAAAAAGGAACAAGAAAGAAAAAAAGAAATATATCATAATATTTGATTGAGAAAATGCATAGAAGAACCTAGAAAATAACTGGAAATAACCTACTATGAGAAAAGTGATGATCTGTAGATTCAAAAAATTCAGTAGAAGCCACTTTTTTTTTTGCCAATATTAGTATAAAAATGTAAACAGTCAGGTGTGGTGGCACATGTTGGTAATCTCAGCACTCTTGGAGTCTGAGGCAAAAGGATTGCAAGTTTGAACCTAGTCTGGGCACTTTAGAGAGACCCTTTCTCAAAATAAATAAGAAAAAGTGACCCAACCAAACCCAACCCAACCAGGGTGAATCCCTAATATGGCAAAAAAAAGTATATATATATATATATATAAAATATATATATAACAATAATTTTATTACATATCCTATTGAAAGAAGACATTTAATTTAGTCACTTACATATAATAATAGACAAAATTTTCAGTTATTTTTCTTATAAATATTGAATAACACAGCATGCTAGGAGTATAAAACACTTCACTTTTACTTACATAATCGTATCTTTGTTTCGCTTTTCTTCAGACTGAGTACAGTTTTGGTAATTTGCTGTAAAGAAGATGTCTTAAATTACAAAGAAAATTAGTTTTTAAGTGATCATACTGTCTTGTAAATAGTTCTTCAAACTAAACATAGTGCTTTCTAGAGAAAATGAACTTAATGCCTGCAAACAAGTTTATGATTATCGTATTTCTTTTCTTTAATACTTGAAGTAATTGTCTTTGCTCTCAAGAATTATCCATGCAATGTGAAAAAATACAGGGAATCATTAACTATGAAGCCAATATGCAGAAAGAAATTTTTTTTTGTACCAGAGATCGAACTCACAACCTCTCACTCGCCAAGAAGATGCTTGTGCTGCTGAGCTAAATCCCCAGCCCCAGAAAAGAATTCTTAAAGTTGTTCTAGTCAGGCAACAGTGAGGAAAGCAGTGGAAATAAAGTTTTCCTTCCATGTCTTTGACCATGCATTTAGAATTAAGCTTTATATACCGCAGGGAATAATTTAGAAGGATGACTTAGAAAGTTAAAAAAAAAAAAAAAAAAAAGCCAGAACATATGTGGAAGTTCTAGAGGAAACAGTCATGGAAAAAAGCAGAAAGGAAGTTCCTTGAAATGTATTGGGTTATAATCAGAGTAACTACATAATAAAGCTATGTTTCAAATGATCCTTGGGTTAAGTCTTTTATGCAAACTTTCTATGTATCTTCTAGTAGACAGTTCACAGTACATAGAATTCATCATAAACTAATAGTATAACAAGGTCTTGATACTGTTGATACTTGATACTTTATACTGTTAATGATAACAGTATAAAACCATGGTAAAATTCACTGTGCCATTTCTTACATAAAACTCTATAATTGAAAGAAATTGCAGACATTGTGACTGTGTATCTCTTACATAAATATAATGTCAGCTCACTTAAGAATTATGAAGTTTTTGTATGTATGACTGTTATTTTCCCTTTTTTCTATTTATGGAATTATATTGTTGAACCAGTTTATTCCAGAAATATCAGAATTGACATGGCAGAAGTGAAAATATTAAAATTTAGTAAAAAATTTTAATGAGATTTAACTGAGTAGAAAAGAAAATAAACATTGTTTCTAAAGTGGTATCCCAATGACAAAAATAATCTAAACCCATTTTGGATATTATATTAACAGAAATACTATATGCGAACATTTAGTTCTGGCACAAAAAATGAGCCCCAATCAATGATAGTTATTCATATTTTACTTGTGGGAAAAAAAAAAAACATCCTCTGTGATTATCCTCCAGAAAACCAATGTTAATATCTGATAAATTATCATTTAAAAGAGTGAGACTGGATATACCTCTTAATGCTCCTATTTCTCTTTACTGATGTCTTGTAATATACTAGTAATATACATGAATTTATATAAATCCTTATCAAATCTATTTTATATTCACCATATTTGATAAAATACATCACAGCAATATCAATCAAATATTTACTTCCCATTTCTATCCAACATAGGTAAGGCAGTCAATAATAGGACAAATGTAATAAAAGACTCCCAAGTTGTCTTACTCACTTTTTCCTTGCTGAGACATAGTACCCCCCCACTTACAATTTACAGGAGGAGAGGTGTGCAGCTTACGTGTTTACTTCAGTTTGACAGCTCCAGTGCAGGAAGCCAAGGTGGAAGGGCTAGGGTGGAGGAGGCCTGCTCATGGCCTCGGGACCAGGAAACTAAGAGAGCTCAAGAGAGGAGCCAGGAAGGGAGATAACCCTTCCAGGCCATGCCTCCAACAATCTTCCTCTTCTGTCCAGAACCCACGTCCCAACAGCAAGTCTGCCCAAAGCCAGCCACCTCCCCAAAGGGCCACCTATGATCCCAGGAGGCTTTGCGGGGACATCTAGCTATAAACCACAACCTAAGTGTCTTAGGTTGTTAGGTCTTTACTGTTTCCTTATAGTTGGCAATCAGTAAATATTTGCTATGTGAATTGGTACATCCATGTGCATAACAATTTAGTTAGCTTATATAATTAAAATACAAAGTTTTAATTTTACTTATATTCTTAATTTTTCTTGCATCACTAAAATATCAGAAAATATATACTAGACAATAAATATCATCTAGAAGGACAGAGAGAAGGAATATAGCTTATTTCAGTCAAATAAGAGTAGAATACTTGGAACACTATTCACTTTTGGCCAGAAAACAGTCAGGTAGAGGACAGAGGAGACACTGCACAAAGCTAGACCAGTATCTAAAAGGCAGTTAGGCTTTAATGAGTTATTTGCCCTAGTTTTAATAAACAGCTATAAGAATATTTCCTAGTGTGGAATTAGGGAAAACGTATGTAAAGTCATGGAATTACTAGTATTTGTAATGTCCACCAGATGGCAAGTATTCTGGATACTATGTCAGTACATAGGGAATGGAATCTATGTTCTGAAGAGTATCATTCTGAAGGCTATGACCCTAAATAAGATACTATAAAGCATATATGAAAGATGTATACAAATATAGCTAATATGGAAAATGCCTACAGAGATGGGTAATATGGAAACTTTTGTTTACTCAATAGCTAGATTTCTCTCATCTCTAATTCAGGATATCTGTCTCTACTACTGTAATTTTCTGTCATATATGTTATCTATGCCCTGCATGTTTTTGTCTACTAAAGAACCTTAAGTAGCTTATAAACAAAAAAAATAATCATTCTTAACTGATTTCTTGCTTTTTAAAGGAGTAATTGCAGATAAGCAATCTGAAATGACCCAACCTTCTGTTTTAATTCTGACATAACACTTCTGGTAGAAATTTATTTGAATTTCTAGAGACAAGTATTGTGGGTCTCGGATTTTTCTCACATATCGACAACAAATAGACAAATGACCTTTAGTCTTGTGTATAGGTACAGTAGCATTGGCTTTCTCCTGAGTGTCCAACCTGCTGGCGTATTTTAGCCTTGACATACTCCATAATCATGTAAGTTAATTCCTTAAAGTCTTTGTCTCTATCTTGTCCCTGACTCTACACACAAACACACATACGCACATATGCACACATGTACACACACAGAGATATCTTAATGGTTCTGTTTCTTTGGAGAATTCTTAGTAAAATAGAACAAGTGATGATGTTTTTAGTCCTTAGCAGTGTGAAAGGAAAAATGACAAGTACATAAATTATATAGATATTATTTACAATATATGTGTTCCTAGTAGTACAGAAAAATAAATCTTATACTCACTTGTGTTGGTTTGGACTAGACACCCACTAATCAGGTGATCACTTATTTCTCCTAAAACCAGTGACATTAAAGGAAGGCAAGCTCCATTTACCAATGATGCCAGTATTCCCAGGATCATGAGTGTGATGTCCAGGCCATCAGCAAAGCGGAACTGAAGGGAACAAAAGTATGGTAATGTTATGGTTATAAACAAAGAAACAAATCCTTGACCTACAGTTTTTGCCATTGCGTAAATGCTACTTTACAAATTGAGATTAAAAATATTATAAAGCCACAGACATACGTTTATATATGAAGCAAAGAAAAAAATACACTTTTTTTTTTTGTCTTTTTCATTTTTTTATCGGTACCGGGGATCGAACTCACGACCGCCTGCTTGCAAGGCAGGTGCTTAGGCCACTGAGCTAAATCCCCAGCCCCTAAAAATACACATCTTAATAATTTGCAATCAATTTTGAAAAAGGCTTTGAAAAATATAGCAGCTATATCATATAAGTTGCAGATAATGACATAAGCCAGGTCAGACATCTGACATGAATCAGAAACTCCTGATACTGTAAAAGACTTCAGTGACATTATCCTAGTTTATAGAAAGTTGACTGGCAAATTTTCAATTCCCAGGCCTATTGTCATCATAGCATTGCCACCATGATGTGTAACAAACAGTAACCAACTAGTAAATATGTAATGAATTTCATTCTTTTATAAAGTTCCTCAGATTGATTCTACCCTGGACAATATCTACCTTCCTATACATATCTACAATAATTTTTGGGGCTATTTGGAATAAGAAATAAATGCCTGAACATCAAAATTGCTGAATATTTTATATTTTATTTTGTATCAGATCCCTATCATGTCATTCCAAAATCAAATCATCAACAAAACTTGGAAACATGGATTATTTATCTTCCTGAGAGGGCTTAAGACCATCTAAAATGCTGGGCACTGAAATGTAAGTTGAAATGAACAACAATAAGAGAAAGTTTGTATATTTTGTGAGTGAAGACTGAAAAAATTTCATGTTTTTCCATTCATTTGTGCAACAGCTGATTAATATTCGTGGAGTAATGTCCAGAGCATTTTAGTCAGCACTACAGATAAGTAAGCATCTGCTCCCTGCCTTCCCCCAGAATAGTTTGTTATCTCCTTGATAATGTTTGCCATGTTTTGCTACTTCCCAAGTATTTTTCAAGGTAGCTTTTGGAAAAATATGTGGGCTCATGCATATTTTGAACAACACTGACAGCTATTTAGAACTTAGAGTTGGTGAAGGGGATGTCTGAAAATATTCCTTAAACACAATTCCAAAGAAGTGTCCTGACATATTTCCTAGTAAATAAGCTTTACCAAATACTTAGGTAATTGTTATTATTATTTTTATTTCATTTAAAAGCGAATAAAACAGAACAATAAAATGAAGCAAAACAAAACAGTGATGGGACAGTAAGAAATCCACAATTGTTACTGTTCTGCATATTGTTATTCTCTAAATAGATGCTCAGGCTGCCAGCCCCAGGCTTGCAAAGTCAATCAATTGACACAAATGTCAGGTTGTTTCCCTACTTCAGTTATTATCCTCTTAGCCTCTGTCACATCAGGTTGCTTTTCAGGGGAGCCTAGCAGTGGAGGTGGCTTCCTTGCTGATTCTCCTGGGTCCGCAGGGCCGCTGATGGCACACGGTAGGGGGATGGTGCATGGCTTATTTTTTTACTTAAAATAATTTGTAAAACTTTTAAGATGATAGTAGCATTAATGTAGAATGATTTAAAAATACTAAAATATAAACGTAGTAAAAGTTGCTGTTCTCCATCACGGAGACGTAACTTCTTGGTTAGACTTACATAGCACCCTCCAACCACACACACCCTTTTTCTTGTGGAAAAATTAAACTGTGTGGATATTGTGCTATTTTTTTCTTACCATTAACCCCAAAAATTCTCCTTTTGATTTTTACTGTATTTCTTATTGGAAATGATACTTTGTTGAACTAATTGCCCTCAAACAGTGTGTAAAAACTACCAATCACTTTATATACTACTATTTCCTCAAATTTTCTGGTATATACACATTCTACTTGATTTCACTTACTATCTCAATAGATCCAACAGCTTGCTTTTTTGCCTCAGGCAGTTGTTCTTGTAGAGTCCTGGAAAATCAGTATTACACATGGCAAAGTTACAATGGGAATATAATTTACAAACTTCTCCAAATTTGCTGAAGCGCCAAATATTGCTACTAATGGCCAATTTTTATGATCGAGTAAATTTAAAAACAAATGTAATCGAAGTACAAAGATTGTCAGAAAAATCACTGGGGAAGGACAGTGCCACAGGCCATCTCTAAATCTGTTAAGGTAGCAAGTGAAGACATGTATCTGGAGCAGAAACTTTAAAAATCATGATAAAATATGTATAATATAGACTTATTTGACTTAACCATTTTGAAGTGTAAGAGCACCAAACACATTCTCACAGCTGTGTTACTGTCTCACAACTCTTCATCTTGTAAGACTGACACCCCATACCAATGGAAGAACTCTCCGTTCATGGACCCCTGCTCCCAGCCCCTGACAACACCATTCTGTGTCTGTCTTTATGAATCTGAGCACTCTACATACTGCATAAAAGTGGAATCACAGTATGTTTCCTTTTGTGGCCAGCTTAATGTCCTCAACGGCCATCCTTGAATTATTTACTTACTATTTCTTCAAGTTTCATTTATGTTGTACTGTGTTAGCATCCCTCTCATCTTTAAAGGACTGAAAACACATAGTCCTTTGTATGTCTATGCTGCATTTTACTCATCCACTCATGAGTTGATGCAGGCTAGGATTGTTTCCATAATTTTGGCATCGCTAATAATGCTGTTCTGAATGTGGGCATATGATTATCTCTTTGACTTTTTACTTTAAATTCTTCTGGGGGGCCGGGGATTTAGCTCAGTGGCACAACCCCCAACATCGCACAATTTCACTTTTAGGTGGAATCTAAAAATGCCAAACTCATAGAAGTGGAGAGCAGAGGTTACCAGAAGCGGGAGAATGTGATGAATGGGGAAAGGAGAGATGTGGATCAGGAGGAACAAAATTCCAGTGGCATAGGAGGAGCAAGTTCCGAGGATCTTTTGCATAACATAGTAGCTATGATTTATATATGAATATAAACTTCAAAATTGTTAAAAGAATGGATTGTAAATATTCTCACAACCAAGAAATAAGTATTAAGGTATGGATATATTGAATCAGTCTGATTCGGTCATTTTATAGTGTATGAATGTATCAAACTGTCACATTTTACTCTATTAAATATATGCAATTATTGTCAATTTGAAAGAAAATAAACATATAAATATAAAACTTTTTTGTGAAATTGGAAAAAGTTTCCAAAGGGAATTGGCTTCAGCCTCAAGAAGTTTCTGATAAAGGTGCCTGACATCAGAAAATGGTGTCTACAGAGCAGCTCTGTGGGCCATTTTCTGAAGTAATGAACTGGTGACCCAGAGGGGACCTTTCCAGCTGTGGATCCAGTTAGAACTCCAGTTCTGGAGTTTCAGTAAAAATAAAAATGGATTTTAAATTATTTCTATTTGGTATCTTTAAATTAATAAATTATATGCACAGAAAATTGCATAACTCGAGGTGTAAAAGCATCTATTCAGTGAAATGGTGTTCATAAAATTTTATTTCACAAAATCGAAATAAAAGTTTGTAGGCAGCTTTCTTTTCCTCTACATACAGATAAGCTATGAAAAATTCAGAAGGGAAAAATTAAAAATTCAAATAAATAATTTTAGTTGATATATTTGTGGCTCACTCTCATTTATTATGCCACATATTACTCTACCCTGAGTTGCTTGTAAAGATTAGATTTAAATGGTAGAGAGGCATTCTTAATTAGTTACACAGGATCTAAACACATTATAAAGCTAGTAAACTTTCAGGAAGTAAGCTTCTTAGTGAAGAGTTGTGCCCCTGTGTATCATAAATGCTTTTAGCTTTTCAATAACCAAGAAGAAAAGCATAATATAAATATAGTCATCCTTAAGCTTTTTAAAAAGACGACAGTGGTCATAACTGTGGATAGAAAATGTTTATAACTCCTCTACTGATTTTATACTATTTCCCTGATTTTCATTTTTTTGATTTTGTATTTTGCTTTTTTAGACAGGGTCTCACTATGTAGTTCAGGCTGGATTTGAACTCACTATATTGCCGAGATTGGCCTTGAACTCACAGCAATCTTCTTGCCTCAGTCTCCTGAGTGCTAGCATTACAGGCATGCTCTGTCATGCTTGGCTTTGTTTAAAAGTTATAAAATAGAAAAGTCATAAAGCTATTGGTAGATATTATTAATTGCATTTTATAGGAACTAACAATTACACAGTCAAACATATATTCCTGAAAATAAATTAAAACAGCTCAGGCTTACCTTGGTAAGTGCATGATCTGTAGTCTACACCAAAATCATGTATGGTTTCTCTGCTCAACCAATAACTAACTGCACTTTCATAGTTATGCTTTACTAGGATTATTTTCTGATTGCTCTGCTGTACTATCAGATTAGATCACTGAGGAATTCATAGGTGATGCACGTTGTGTTCTTCACGCCATCCTGCACTTGGGATATGATACAAGCACAGAGTGCACTGAGTCAAATAAATACTCTTTTTTTTGTAAAGATGTGAGTGCTGAGGTACCTAGTTTTCAATAGTTTGCTATTGTAATATCTTTTTTAGTTGGTTAGCTGAATTAGTAATTATGATAGATAAAAGCACATTTGCACAACAAATATTTATTGAGTTGTGCTTTATATAAGGCTTTGATTCTTCTGCTTCATTATAGCTCCCCAGAAACAATTACCTCCTTTTCTGGTCCTCTTATTTTCTTTGCTTATATGTGTATTCTGTTCAGTAACATCCTGCCTTCTATTTCAAAGTGTAGTTACCTTAGAAGATTATCTTTCTATATGTGTTTCCCCGTGAGTTACTTGTTAAAAGTATTGAGCTTATATGATATAATAGCTAGTTTATAAGAACCAAAAGATATGTTTAAATACGTTTTATTTCCTGAAGCACTTTCATTCTTTTTTTTTACTCTCTCTATACTACAGTCTCACTATTCAGTGCAGACCCTAAGTAAACAGCTTGGGCATTGCCTGGAATATGACTAGAATTAAAGAATTAAATTTTGTTCTTTTTCAAGATTCTTTTGACTGTCCAGAATCCCTTGACATTCTATACAAATTTTTGGCTATGATTGTCCATTTCTGCTAAAAATATCTGAGATTTCTATAGGAATTCTATTGAATTTATGTTTCCTTTAGGTAATACTGTTTCTTAACAATATCAACTCTTCTAGTTCATCAACATAAGTTGACTTCTTTTTATTTTCTGCCTTCTTCAATTTATTTCACCAGTGTTTTATAGTTTTCAGAGTACAAGTGTTTTGCCTTGTGGTTGATTTTATTCTTTTGATTTTATTTTAAGGGAAAATGTTCCTTAATATCTTTTCCTCATTTTAAATTAAATTAAATTAAATTAAATTAAATTTAACTTGAGACAGGGTCTTGCTATGTAGTTCAAGGTGACCTTGAGTTCACTCTGTATCCTAAGCCTTGCACTCATGGTGATCCTCCTGCCTCAGCCTCCCAAATACTGGGATTATAGGCATGCCCCACCATACCCAGCTTCATTGTTTATTTTTATTGTACACAAAGCAACAAATTTTTGCATGTTGATTTTGGGTTCTGCAATTTTGGTCAGATTTACTTATTAGCTCTAACAGTTATATTTTTGCATATAATATTTAGAGTTTTCTACAAATGAAATCATGTTATTTGTGAACAGGCACAGTTTCATGTATTTTTTTCCAGTGTGGATTATTTTGTTCTGTTTTCTGTCTGATTGCTCCCATTACAACTTCAAGCATTAAGTTGAGTTAAAGAGGTGAAAGTAGGCACCCTTTTATTATTCCTGATCTTAGAGGTTAAACTTTCAGCAGTTCACCATTGACTGTGACATTTACTGTGGGTTTTTCATATTTTTTTATACTTTTCATAATGGGGAAGTTTCCTTTTATTCCTAGTTTGTTGATTTTTTGTTTGTTTGTTTGTTTTTGTACCAGGGGTCAAACTCATGACTGCGTGCTTGCAAGGCAGGCGCTTATGCTTCTGATCCCCAGCCCCTGAATTTTTAAAATAAAAAAATTTGAATCTTGTCACATGTTCTTTGCACAGTAGTAGATATGATCATATTTTTGTTTCATTCTATGTGATTTTTTGTATTGATTAATTTACATACATTAAACAATACTTGCAATCCAGAAATTAAATTTTTTGCCTGTTTATGTTTATTTTTAGTTTTTTATTGGTTCATGTTTGCTATACTTAATGACTGTATTATGTGGTGAGTTAGAACATGTACATAAAAGATTTGAATTCTTTTTGCTTCTCCACCTCTCTTCTCCATCCTTTTATCTCTTGGAACTGTTTATGGTATTTATTTATTTATTTATTTATTTAGTACTGGGGATCGAACTCATGACCTTGCGCTTGCCAGGCAGGCACTTAAACAGCTGAGCTAAATCCCAGGCCCCTGTTTAAGGTATTTAGTGATTGTGATATGTTGTTTTATTATTTTGTAGAGGGTCTTTATAAAAATAATGATGTTAGCTTTGTAGCACTGTTACAAATACCCGAGATAAACAACTTACAAGGAGGGAAGATTTAATTGGCTCATAGTCAAAGATTTCAGTTCGTGATTGCTTGGCTCCACTTTTTCTGGGCCCGTGGCAAAGCAGAAGGTTGTGGCATAGAATGTATGGTGTCGCAAAAGCTGCTTACCTCGTGGTGGCTGGGAAACACGCTCTGGTGCATGTGCACACACATGGGAGAAGAGGAGGAGGAGGAGGAGGAGAAGGGAGGGGAGAGAGGGAGAGAGAAAGAGACAGAGACAGAGAGAGACAGAGACAGAGAGACAGAGAGAGGGAAAGAGGGACTGTCTCAGTATTCCTTTCAAAGGCATAATCCTGACAATCTAACATTCTTCTAGCACACTCCATCTCCTAAAAGTTCCTTGTTTCCAACCGCACCGCAGACTGCTGACAAGCCTTTAACACCTGAGCCTTTGGGGGACCCTGAAGGTCATACC